TATTGCCTCCATCAGTACCAGCTCTCACTCTCCTCCAGCATCTTACTTCACAAACATCCCCTCTCATTCCTCTGTCTTCAATAACGTCCTCTGGACTTTTCCTTGCAGTCTATAAACATGATTACGTCTTCCTCAACCTAAAACCATCAAAACTCCTTTCCTTGGTTTTATTACTCTAAAGCTACTTCCCATCTTTCTCCTTGTCTCATTCTTCAACCTAATATGGGCTGACTTCTATCTCCACTTCACTGAAATTGCTCTAAATTCATCTGCTACTAAATTGCCAGACCCAAAGGTCTAATCTAAATTCCAATTTACCTGGCCGGCCTGGTGGTGCAGCGGTTAAGTTTGCAAGTTCTGCCTCTCAGCAGCCCAGGGCTCACCAGCTCGGATCCCGAGTGCGGACGTGGCACCGCTTGGCAAAAACCATGCTGTGGTAGGCGTCCCACATATAAAGTAGAGGAAGATGGGCACAGATGTTAGCTCAGGGCCAGTCTTCCTCAGCGAAAAGAGGAGGATTGGCAGCAGTTAGTTCAGGGCTAACCTTCCTCAAAAAAATAAATAAATTCTAATTTATCTTATATTTCTGCAGTTTGACAATGCTGCCAACCTTTTACTTCTTGAAGTTCTCATTCCCCTAAGCTTCCAGAACACTATTTTCGCGTTATTCAGACCATTCCTTTGTTACTGCCTATCTCCTCTGACCATCGGGGTTCCCCTCTTTGGTCCTCTTCTTGCTCTATATGCTTTCCATCTCTGATCTCAGAAACACCCACGGTTTGGCTCCATGATTTCATTTATTTTCTATATGCTAATAATTCCAAATCTCTATCTTTAATCCTAATTTCTCTTCTGACCTCCATATCCCCCATTCTCATATTTACTCAAAACCAACTGCTTCTCATATATGCTAAATCTCAGTTAATAGTTTCACTATACACATGGTTCCCTAAGCCAGAAACTGAAGTTAGAGAACTATCCTTAATCCTTCCCTAAAGCTCACATCTTATCCATCACAAAGAAACGTCCATTCTATTCCTAAATGTTTCTCAAATCTGTCCCTTCCTGTCTTTCTAATGTCTCTCTTTAGCTCAGGCCCTGAGTTTCTTATATGGATAGGGCTGTAGCCATCTCCTTTCCTCTGTTTCTGTATGCAGTGAGTGGAAACAGTACCGTCTGCTACGTTGCAAATATTACAGTAAATCTTGGTGGCCCAACTAGTGTGGCACGAGTGGAGAGGCAGTGAGCAATGCGACTGGAGAAAAAAATAACGTAGTCAGAGGCTATTTTATGTTGTGCAACATCACAAATTTCATGGATGAAAAGGTGATTTATTACTAAGTGACTCAAATATGGGCTAAAAGAGGAATTTTAAAAGGCAAAGCAGATGACATAGATGGCTTTCTTTTTTTTTTTTTTAGATTTTATTCTTTTCCTTTTTCTTCCCAAAGCCCCCCTGGTACATAGTTGTATATTCTTCGTTGTGGATCCTTCTAGTTGTGGCATGTGGGACGCTGCCTCAGCGTGGTTTGATGAGCAGTGCCATGTCCGCACCCAGGATTCGAACCAACAAAACACTGGGCTGCCTGCAGCGGAGGGCGCAAACTTAACCACTCGGCCACGGGGCCAGCCCCAGGTGGCTCTTTTCTAAAGATCTAAAGTATCTTTGCTTTGTTCCCACAGATACCGCAAAAAATCCTGGTATTAAGTGATTTTGCCTTGCTCTGATCTGCAGTACAAGGATTTCCCAGGAAACAAACATTTCATATATTTATTATTGCATGATGCTTACTCCCCACCCTTAGTTTTTAAGAAAGTGAGTTTGCACTTCAAATTCTTTTTTTCATGCACGAATTGATATCACTAAATATTTCTGATTTTGCTTACTGCTTTTTTCCCCATTTTTAAGTAAACTCAAATGTTTTCAATTGATGCAAAATGTCTTGAAATATTTAACATACTTACATTATTGTATTAGATGAAGTTTCATAGCATTTCTCATATTCTGTATTACCTGACATCGTCTCCTGTACAAGCACTTCCCCAAATACTGTTTTCCATGCCGTCATACACGTTGTCTCTCTACCTAGAATGCCCAAACTCGTCTGACTCCAAACTCACTTTTAAGATTCAGCAAAAACATTACCTTGTTTAAGTCATATTCTATGCTACTTTTTATTCTATGCACCCATAGTGCTTATCTTCCTACCATTCTTTGGAGCACAAAGACTGTCTTCATATTCTCCATAAACTTACGATCTAGAGCAATTTCTAGTACACACAAAGCACCTATGAATGGTATGAAATACATCTTGGAATCTGACTAACAGTGGTGGGCAACTGATAGAAAGTCAAAGAAGGCAAAATATAAATAATAGTTAACTGTAATTGAATGCCCACTCCATGCTAGGCACAGGACTAAGCCATTTCGTGGACTTTTTTTTTTTTTTCAGGAAGATTAGCCCTGAGCTAACATCCACTGCCAATCCTCCTCTTTTTGCTGAGGAAGACTGGCCCTGAGTTAACATCCATGCTCATCTTCCTCTACCTTACATGTAGGATGCCTACCACAGCACGGCTTGACAAGAGGTGCCATGTCTACACCCAGGATCCAAACCGGCAAACCCCAGCCTACCGAAGTGGAACATGCGCACCTAACCACTGTGCCACCTGGCCGGCCCATTTCATGGACTTTTAAAACATTGATATATAACTCATGTAACATAAAATTCACACTTTTAAAGTTTACAATGCAGTGGTTTTTAGTATATTCAGTTTTGCAACCATCACCACTAATTCTAGAACATTTTCATATTCCCCAAAAGAAATCCTATACCCATTAGCAGTCACCTCTCATTACTCCCTCCCCTCAGCCCCTAGCAACCACTACGTTTCCTTTCTAAGGATTTGCCTGTTGTGACATTTCACGTATGTGGGATCAGACAATATGTGGCCTTTTGTGTCTGTCTTCCTTTGCACAGTGTACTTTCAAGGATCACCCACATTGCATGTGTATCAGGGCTTCACTCCTTTCTACGGCTGAATCACATTCATCAGTTGATGGACACCAGTTGTTTCCACTTTTTGGCTATTGGAATAATGCTGCCATGGACACCTGTGTACAAGTTTTTGCGTGGATGTACGTTTTCATCTATCTTGGGTATATACCTGAGGAGTAGAATTGCTAGGTCAAATGGTACTGTATGTTTAACTTTTTGAGCGACTACTAGACTGTTTTCCCAAGTGGCAGCACCATTTTACATTCCCACTAGCAATAACTGAGGCTTCCAGTTTCTCCACACCCTTGTTAGCACTTACCATCTTATTATAGCCATCCTACTGGGTGTGAAGCGGTACCTCATTATTGATTTCCATTTCCCTGATAACTAATGACATTGAGCTTTTTTTTTTTTTCCTGAGGAAGATTAGCCCTGAGCTAACTACTGCCAGTCCTCCTCTTTTTGCTGAGGAAGCCTGGCCCTGAGCCAACATCGTGCCCATCTTCCTCTACTTTATATGTGGGATGCACAACACGGCATGGCGTGCCAAGCAGTGCCATGTCCGCACCCGGGATCCGAACTGGCGAACCCCGGGCCGCTGACAAGCGGAACATGGGAACTTAACCGCTGCGCCACCGGGCCAGCCCCCCTGAGCATCTTTTTGTGTACTTATTGGCCATTTGTATGTTATCTTCAGAGAAATATCTAATCAGATCTCTTGGCCATTTTTTTGTGTTGTCTTTTTATTGTTGAGCTGTAAGAATTCTTTATATATTCTGGACACTGGATTTTCTTTCTTAATCCTCAATCACCCTGCCAAAGCAGGTAGATCTATCTCTGTTTTACAGATGAAGAGACCAGAGCCTGAGGGTTTTAGTAAGAGGCATGATTGCTTCTACATCCGAGTCTCCAAAGCCCATGCTCTTTCCACTACTCTACACTGCTTCTTGGTGACGGAGTAGTTTTAACTGATGATGAGGTTTAGAGAGTGGCTATACTAGTGGGTAGTTAACACAAAGATGAATGTCATTGGAATTGAGGCCAAGGTGTTAGAAACATTATCAACTGATTGCTGAAGTCAATGGTGGCAGGCCTCAAAGTCACATATAAAATTAAAAATTTGGATTATATGATCTCCAAGATTCCTTCTTACTCTGAAATTCTATGATTTAATAAGACTTTTTGTTTTGCCCAGCATCAAAACAGCAGTAATCATGAAAAGCCAGTTCCTTAAGTGTTGGACGAAAGGAAGAACCATCCACTTATGCACATCCCTCTAAAGCCCAGGACTGGGCCCTGTAAGAACTCCAGTCCCAGTTTATTGTGAAAAAAATCTGACCTGGTGTCACAGGCTTTTTTTTAATTGGCACCTGAGCTACCATCTGTTGCCAATCCTTTTTTTTCTTCTTCTTCACCTTCTTTTCTCCCCAGAGCCCCCCAGGACATAGTTGTATATTCTAGTTGTGGCATGTGGGCCGTCACCTCAGCATGGCCTGATGAGCAGTGCCATGTCCGTGCCCAGGATCCAAACCAGTGAACCCTGGGCTGCCGAAGTGGAGCGCGCGAACTTACCCGCTTGGCCACGGGGCGGCCCCTCTCACAGGCTTCTAAAAAGAAGGCAGCACCTCCTGACAGCACTTCATCCACCACTTTCCTCAACGCAAACACGAAGACGTGAATTCTTCCCTTTGTCCCGGGTAAGTACCAAGCTAAGACCAACTGACTTCTCAGAGGCTGTCCAGGAACACACACAGTTATTTTGCTCCAAATGCATAGCAATTTGCCTAAAAAAGCATATAGATGGAAGAAATGGATAAAGTTTTAGTGCCATCACCTTTGTGCTATCTCTGTTACCTCCAACAGCAGATGAGTTCAATGGATGCAGCTGGGAAACCAGTACTTGTGCAGAACTGCAGACACCAGGGACCAAGTAAGTAAACTCAGTCATTAACAAAGTATAAACGTGGTTTTAACAAGAAATTACAGAAAACTCAAATAGAATATTTTCAATTACTTATTTTATTGAAAATAGTTAATTTAAAATATATACATTATTTTTAAAAAACCATGTTACTGGTATAATAATGAACTTTTTATACAAAGATCATTTAAGTTTCACTCGCTCTTAGCAAAGTGGCACCTTTATCTTCCTAGATGAACATTTTGCTTGAGAGTAGGGTCTCTGGTGCCCTCTGGTGAAACTTCATGAGACTGGGTGTCCCAAAATGTAACTCGGGCCCTACAGCTCACGAACACAGTCACACAGCAGAATGCCTGCCTAGTCACATTTCACAAGCTGTGGTTTGCTGCCTTCCCTCTGCCTGGGAGGAAGGTGAGCTCTGTGGATGCCTTTCTCTCCTCAGGAAAGGTGTTCCCATTGACACTCAGCCAAGCTCACAGAAAAATACTTTCTTCCTAAGTTTTCATCGTCATTGTCTTCTTAAAAAAACAAAAGCTGTCATTATAAATGTGGGAAAATGTCTAACTAATTCAGGTTATAGTCCAGACCAAAACAACTAAAAGGTTAACAGGACAGCAAAAACTATAGATAAAGCTTAACACGCAAGAAAAGCTTTATAAGCAGTCCTGATGCTTCTTCACTCTGTCTCTATAATAACAGATAGCACTATCCCAGGCATCTCTCTGCCTGTAGTTCCTGGGAGAAGACGACATTTTGTTTTCAGATTTCAGGAAGCAGGCCTATTCCAGATGAGAGTCATTTCCAAAAGTAAAGATCAACAGAGTCTAAGTTCATTCTCCAGACCAAATACTTTGGACTTCAGGTTCTTCAGTTCTCCTTGTATCTTATGTGCCCGTCTATTGCTGTCCCGGACCTCACAGAGGATGGCAAGGTCCTGGTTTGCCCGCGCGTTAAGTGTTGCCTAGAGATATGAAAAGAAGAAAAAATGATCATGGCATACGTCAGGGAAGAAAAATCCATCATAAAGAACAGGCTATGCTGGCTCCTTTTTGAGACTTTTAGTATGCAGAATAATTCGATCCTTAGTCTGTTTAGTGACCAACGAAAAGAAGGGAAATGTAGAGCAGAATTAAAGCAGAAAAAGGAATGAGACTCTCTGCTTTCTCATACAACAGCAAAGGAGTCTTCAGATAGAGCTCGACAAACAGTGAGTAAAAAGCAGAGACCAATATAAACAGTATTGGTAAATCTGCCAAAGAATGAAAGCATCTCTTCTTTTCTACAATTAACCTTTAGGATATGTGGATGACTGGTTAAATCTCTTTAAGAAGGCTCCTGAGGCAACTTGGATTCTAAATACAGCTGAGTCCGATGGGGGAAAATTATTACTCAACTGCTCAGTCGCACTATTTGTGAAACAGACACAGTTCTTTAAATCTACTTCTTGAATTGAGAGGGATAAAAATTTGTTAAGTTTAGCTTTGATGGAAGTATAGTGATGCAGTCATTCAATTATTTCGGTCTATTTTGGTCTTCCCTCTAGCATGTACTTGTTAAACCGATTTCAGTGAGGCTTAAAGGATGGTGATCCATTAGTGTCTACCGTCAGGGAAACACACCTTTCTCCTGAGGAGCCCTCAGGACCATGTTTCCTCACTTGCACCCCTAAACCTCTTGCTAATTCAGGATCAGCACCTACCTTATAGAGCATTTGCTCCAAGTCTTTCAGTTTCTGCCGGAGAGCCTTAATATCCGTCTTAAAGCCTTCTACTTCCAAGACACGCCGATTCTCCAAGGCCTCATAGCGTTTTGTCATTACCTGTAAACGCTTCCCCATCTTGTTGGTGCGATCCTAAATAGAGGGAAACAGGAAGGCATTTGTGAAGATGAGAGAAGCCTCCCGGAGCCATTCGCACTTCCCGCTCCACGGTAAGGGGCAGAGAATTCTGTACCTTGAAGATCTCTCTCCTCACCCCCTCCTCCTCCCGAATTCGGGCAAGTTCTTCTTCCAGGGCAATGCACTGCTCTTGGTACATGCTGGACAGCTTCTTCTCTTGTACTAACTTATCCTTTAGGGACTGCAGGGCAAAAGGAACAACATCCATTACTATTCAGTTCTACAATTTAGGTAACTCAAAGAGCACTTAAAGCAAGAAGGGAAAGGAAGGATTTCCAGAAGTACAAAACGAGTTAAGGAACAAGACAGAAAGGAACTCTGAAGAACATTTGAAAACCTCCTACTTCTAAAGGATTCTCTTAGCCTTTTCTAAAGTGTACACAGTAGAAATTGTTTAAAATAAAACAAATATTTCTAGCTCCAGGAAGAGTCAGATAATGGATCTCAGAATTGTCCCAAGTAAGACATTACAATATATGTTTTGGGACGCATTTCTGAAGTTCTCCTTTAAAGAGAAAGAAACCATCATCAGAACAACAATAATAATGCTTATTATCCATACCCCACTGAGCAGCCAGAATGAGCTTTAAAAACCTTCACCACATCATGTTATTTCCTTGCACACAACGCTTCAAAGACAGAACACCATTGAGAGCTAAATATTCTCACCAAGCATACGAAGGCCCTAGAAAGCCCTCCGTGACTGGCTGCTGCGCGCCCCTCCACCTGCACCCACTTCCTCCTTGCTGACTCCTTTACAAGCACAATGGCACCCTTCCTTCTCCTTCAGGATACTCCAGGGCCTTGCTCTCCCCTCGGCCTGGAATGCTCTTTCCCTAGGTCTATATGGCAAGCTCGGTCCCATTTTTCAGGTCTCAGCAAAAACACCAGACTTAAGAGTGTCCTTGTACTTCCCTACAAAAGTAGACTTCCAGCAACTACATATAATCCTTTTCATTCCTTAAAACCACTTTCCTATAATCTATCATTTTCTTGTTTGTTAATGTTTCTGTTCTTTCTCACCCACTAAAATATAAATGCCATGAAGGCAGATCTGCTCTAGCGCATTTACTCACGTAGCCTCAAAGCCTAGCCCAGAGTATCAGTACAGTAAATATTTGCTACGGTTTTTTTTTTTTTCAAGATTTTATTTTTCCTTTTTTTTTTTTCTCCCCAAGGCTCCCTGGTACATGGTTGTGTATTTTTAGTGGTGGGTCCTTCCAGTTGTGGCATGTGGGATGCTGCCTCAGCATGGCCTGATAAGCAGTGCCATGTCCTCGCCCAGGATTCAAACTGGCGAAACCTTGGGCCACTGAAGCGGAGCGCACTAACTTAACCACTGGGCCACGGGGCTGGCCCCTAAATACTTGTTGAATGAATGAATGGTTTCATTTTCTAAATCCCCAAACACCATAAGGATGAGCTACTCTTTGAAACCTATTTCTTGAGGTTGCTGCCACAACAGCTTCGTGGACTGAATGGATCTTGCACAACAATTCTTAGGTGTGGTGGCATTCTCTGAATTCCTTCAAGTGTTCCAGAAAAATAACCAATTTCTGTAAGACATAAGGAAACTACCTTAATATATTCGTTTTGGTTATGACGACTCTCATGAACAACTGGCCAAACTTTTCCAATTTTATCTTCTTTCTTCTTAAACTGCACCCTGTACTGCTTAAGCTTTGATATCAAATGATCCTTTTCAAGCATCCATGACTTTTCTTTATTTTGGTTTTCAAATCTGAGTTGCAAAAAGTCTTTGGTGCTCTCATAGAGTAGTTCTTGGGTGTGATGGAGACTATGAAAGAAAGTACACATGTGGACATGAAGACGCTTACACAGCACATATGACATACAGTTATTCCAACAAAGGGAAGATACAGGTTCTTTAAATATTGTGTAATAGATAAGTTCTGTAAAATATTATTAGCAGTTTTAAAAATATACTAATGTGATCACTGACAACCTTACTTTTTTACCAGACAATGCGTGATGTATCTATCCATGCTCACTGTTTCAGACTGGTCTTTACAGACATTTTCCGGAGAGCTAATCTCAGGTTATACACTTAGAAGGACTACAGAAATATTTATACACAGCCTGCGTAAGTATGGACTATTTCCAGGCACAACACTTTACAATAAAGAAATAAACCATGGTGTTCTGACTGAGGGTTAACCCAAGTTCTATAACGTCAAAAACAGTTTTGCTTTTGCTTCTGCTGTGCTCCACGTGTAAACTGCCCCATAGCAAATCTCATTCTTGTTTCAAGACCAACCTCCTCTATGAAGTCATCTCGACAACTGTAGCCCATTTAATTTCTCCTTCTCCAAAATACCCTATCAGTTTAAATCTATCAACGTGATACACTACATTAACAAAATGAGAAACAAAAACCACATGATCATCTCAATAGATGCAGAGAAAGCATTCGACAAGATCCAACATCCATTTATGATAAAAACTCTCAATAAAATGGGTATAGAAGGAAACTATCTCAACATAATAAAGGCCATATATGACAAACCCAAAGCCAACATCATACTCAATGGGCAAAAACTGAAAGCCATCCCTCTGAGAACAGGAACAAGACAAGGGTGCCCACTCTCACCACTCTTCTTCAACATAGTACTGGAGGTTTTAGCCAGAGAAATTTGGCAGGAAAAAGAAAAGAAATAAAAGGAATCCAAATAGACAATTAAGAAGTGAAACTCTCGCTGTTTGCAGACTACATGATCTTATATAGAGAAAAAACCCTACAACCATCAAGAAGCTACTAGAAGCAATCAACAATTAAAGCAAAGTTACAGGGTACAAAATCAACTTACGTAAATCAGTTGCATGTTTATACTCTAATAACAAAGTAATAGAAAGAGAACTCAGGAACACAATCCCATTCACAATCACAACAAAAAGTATAAAATATCTTGGAATAGATTTAACCAGGGAAGTGAAAGATTTATACAACGAAAACTACAAGACTTTACTGAAAGAAGTTGATGACGACATAAAGAGATGGAAAGACATTCCATGCACGTGGATTGGAAGAATAAACATAGTTAAAATGTCCATACTACCTAAAGCAATCTACAGATTCAACATCATCCCAATCAGAATCCCAAGGACATTCTTTACAGGAATAGAATACTGAATCCTAAAATTCATATGGGGCAACAAAAGACCCTGAATTGCTAAAGCAATCCTGAGAAAAAAGAACAAAGCTGGAGGCATCACAATTCCTGACTTCAAAACATACTACAAAGCTACAGTAATCAAAACAGCATGGTACTGGTACAAAAACAGATGCACAGAGCAATGGAACAGAATTGAAAGCCAAGAATCAAAACGACACATCTATGGACGGCTAATCTTTGAAAAAGGAGCTGAGGGCATACATGGAGAAAAGAAAGTCTCTTCAACAAATGGTGCTGGGAAAACTGGACAGCCACATGCAAGAGAATGAAAATTGACCATTCTTTTTTTTTTTTTTTTTTCCATAACATTTCCTCTCTTCCATATCCAGGAACATTCAGAACTCAATATACAGATGGTACTTCGCATAAAGAATAACATTATCTGTTAAACATTTTTCCTTCCCATTAACCAATTTAACAATATGCCTCTGGTATAAAAGGAATAGACAAACGACTAAATCTTCCGATATCGGAGTTCCAACTGTAGAAAAATTCTTTAGTTATATTGTTTGTTTTCCTTTTAACTTTCATCCTTATTTCTTCATTTTTGCTTTTCAAATGCAAGTGGAGCCTATGCTTGGTACCTATTCTACGAATCCGTCCCCATCAACCTTCCCTCAGCAGGTGCTTCACGATCATTCTTACGGGAGCCCCCTGCCATCCCTCAAGGACAAGGGACGTGCATGGAAAGGGTGTTGTAGACATCAGGCACGCCACACAAATATTATGCAAACACTCATTCCCTCAGGCCTCCCATGTGGCAGGCCCTGTGGGAACAGGGCGCACCCCCATGCCCCTAGACTCAGACTAATAATTGGACAACAATGTGATCAGTTGGGCCATCCTGCCCCTCCTTCCTTCATTTCATTCAAAGGCTGGAAATCTCTTCTTAGCAGGGATTTAGTTAAAAATGAGAGATGAGTGAAGTGCTGCTGCTACTCCACGTACCCTGAGAAATTTCACAATCCTTTCCTGTTTTTAGTCTTGGATTTTTAACAGGTTACATATGAATCCCGATGCTGACCACACCTGTTTCATTAATTAACAACACAGCGATTTTAACAGGGTAATACGGGCCAGAGAAAAATGTTACATTGTGCACTTGACATTTCATTTAAAAAATTTTCCTTAGCACTAAAAGGTTTCATTATAACAGATAAATTTCAAATGTGCTTTATTAAACCTGATTGCTAATTAGAGCCTAAGTAATTATAAAGAAATTGCACACCTGATATTCAACCAGAGGCTATTTTCTGGACATACTGACATATTAAAGTAGTTTTCTTTAAAAATTTTAATCTCCAGTAAAAATAATTGCATGTAAATATTATTCTGTTTTCCATAAGAGATCATGGAGGACAGGGAAGGGTTGGGTGTACATATAAGAATTTATCAGTAGGGGCCGGCTCGGTGGCCGAGTGGTTAAATTCGTGCACTCCGCTGCGGCGGCCCAGGGTTCGGATCCTGGGCGCGGACATGGCACCGCTCGTCAGGCCACTTTGAGGTGGCATCCCACATCCCACAACTAGAAGGACTTGCAACTAAGATATACAACTATGTACGGGGGTTTGGGAGATAAAGCAGAAAAAAAAAAAAAAGATTGGCAACAGTTGTTAGCTCAGGTGCCAATCTCTAAAAAAAAAACAATTTACCAGTAGTAATTTCATCAGGAGGCAGTGCTAAATACTTCATATTGAGATTCAAGACTCAGGGCACCTTCTGGTTAAAATATTTTTTAAGATGGGTGATAACTGGGCTATTTTTATATTGACAACTAAGACAAAACTGCCAACTGTTAGTCAATGTTTAGGGACCCAAAACCAACTCTTCAAAAAACTACACTTTATACCCATTCTTATTATTTTAGCATGGACTGTACCTTTTCAAGTTATCATAATCTGTGACTGGCTTCTTGTCTAAGAATTTACAGGGCCTTAAGGTGAGGTCATCAGGTAAATAACTAGCACGTGTGAATCAAAGTGCATTCAGGACAGCCAAGCCACACGACAGCCCAACGCACAGGATTTACCTATTAAGCGGTCACTACGGACTCTGCCTAACAGGAGCAAGTCTTTCAAGTTCTGACAATGACATACTGACAAGAAAGGCTGCTGAAACTGATTTAATTAGACACAGTGAAATACTACTGCTGTTCCAAGTCTGTTTATAAAGAGTTTCCATCATACGTTATTTTAAATTTTTTTCAGGTATAAAACTTGGTTTCAACTGTTAGAGCCGAAAACAGAAGTACTTCCCCTGGGATCTCCTCCACATAGAGAAGTTATCCATATAATTATTTTTAAGTAGTCTCCCTCACTTTGGGAAAACTTTACTCTCCCCCCAACACCCACTCACCCCCACACACCCACATCAATTTTAAAGAAAGCCTGTCTGTCAGCCTCCTGTGAGGACACTGAACACCATCCATCCCGCAGGTTCAGTCGACAGTCTGCACGCGCTCCTGAGGAGAAATCAGTCGAGTCCCTGTGCTGTTGTGGTTTGTCTCCAGAGCCACTCTTCCCGTCACCATCACTGTGGACTTCCTCCACCACGCTCATCTCATTTGGATTTCAATGCTTCCTCCCACTCAACAGCCGATTCGGCGTTCTTGGGAATTGCTGGAAATATTGATTGCATTTTATTTCGAAAGTCTTTCATACTGTGAACTCCTAAGGCTTTCCAGACTGCGAAGCTGATCACGCCAACCCCACACCACGCGTAAAGGGAGCCCCAGCCCAGGGCTCGCAAGGCAAGGGAAGAGCCACTCTCCGGTAAGGCGGCCGTGGCCACGCTTCCCTTATTGAACCATTCAGGGCTTTTCTTTTTAGCCAATGACAACGTTGTTACAAATCCAGCCAGCATTCCAGCTGCAGCAACAGTACCAAGGAAAATTCCACCTTTCACCAGGAAAAGCCGGTCCTCGGCGGACCCCGGAGCCTCTAGGCGCGGGGCCGGCTCCCCACTCCCAGCACCCGCCGCCTCCATGTTTACATGCCTCCGCGGCTGCGTCCGGCGCCCACTGGTGACCATTCTTTTTTACCATTCACAAAAATAAACTCAAAATGGATCAAAGATCTAAAGATTAGATCTGAAACAATAAGTCTTCTGGAAGAAAATACAGGCAATACACTCTTTGACATCAGTATCAAAAGGATCTTTTCGGACACCATATCTCCTCAGATGAGGGAAACAATAGAAAGAATAAACAAATGGGACTTCATCGGACTAACGACCTTCTTCAAGTCAAGGGAAAACAGGATTGAAACAAAAAAACAACCCACTAGTTGGGAAAAAATATTTACAAGTTATATATCCGACAAAGGGTTAATCCCCATAATATATAAAGAACTCACACAACCAACAACAAAAAATCAAACAACCTGATCAAAAAAATGGGCAGGAGACATGAACAGACATTTCTCCAAAGAAGATATACGGATGGCCAAGAGACACATGACAAGATGCTCATCATCACTGATCATCAGGGAAATGCAAATCAAAACTACACTAAGATATCACCTTACACCTGTTAGAATGGCAAAAATAACCAAAACAAAAAGTGACAAATGTTGGAGAGGTTGTGGAGAAAAAGGAACCCTCATACACTGCTGGTGGGAATGCAAACTGGTGCAGCCACTGTGGAAAACAGTATGGAGATTTCTCAAAAAATTAAAAACAGAAATACCACATGACCCAGCCATCCCACTACTGGGTATCTATCCAAAGAGCTTGAAGTCAGCAATTCCGAAAGTCCCATGCTATAGCCAAGACGTGGAAGCAACCTAAGTGCCCATCAGCTGATGATTGGATAAAGAAGATATGGTATACATATACAATGGAATACTACTCGGCCATAAAAAAGGATAAAATCGTCCCATTCACAACAACATGGATGGACCTTGAGGGTAAATGTTAAGTGAAATCAGCCAGATAGAGAAAGACAATCTCTGTATGACTCCACTCCTATGTGGAAGTTAAACATACAGACAAAGAGAACTGATCGGTGGTTACCAGGGGAAAGAAGGGGGTGGGGGAAGGGCACAAAGGCTGAAGTGGTGCATCTACAACATGACTGACAATAATGTACAACTGAAATTTCACAAGGTTGTAAACTCTCATAATCTCAATAAAAAGTAAAAAAACCCCAAAAAAACAGGCCAATGAAAAGTGAAGATGCTATGCTCAAGTACATAGTTGTTTATTCTAATTGCAGATCCTTCTAGTTCTGCTATGTGGGTCGCTGCCTCAGCATGGCTTGACGGGCAGTGCCATGTCCACGCCCAGGATCCGAACCAGTGAAACACTGGGCCACTGAAGCGGAGTGCATGAACCTAACCACTCAGCCATGGGGCTGGCCCACTGCCCCACTGGGCAGGACCCTGAAAAAGTATTTTTAATGTAGGCTGTTTAACGCAGAGAATAGGCAATAAGATGCAACTTGATAAGGATCATAAAGTAGTCAACAAATGTTTATTATGAGCCTATTTATGCACACAGGCCAAGAGAGAGGCTACAGGAAGACGCAGGGGGGACAAAGACATAATTATAATAGGTAGTGCTAAGAATCATCATAGAGGCATGTGAATCATTATGGGAATGTGCAGGAAGAAAAATTTAATTCTCCCTGGGGAAGTCTGCAGAGAAGGGTGACAGTGCACAGCAAGGTGCCTGCCACACAGCAAGTGTTCCATACAATAGACACTATTAGTCTGGCAGGAGGATGAGGTGAACTACGGGAACAGAGGAGGCGCTGAGACTGAAAAGGTTAATTTGGAGCCAGATGATGAAGCTCCTAATAATTCATGCTAAGGAATCAGAACTTTATCGTAAGATAAATGGGGAGCTATCAAACGTTCTTAGCAGTTGATAACTCCTAATGGAGGAGCTAAGTCATAACAGTGAGGAAGACTGCAAAATACAAAGGGACCAGTGACAGGTCGAACAGTGGCATTACGGTAACCATTTAAACAAGAACATAGCTTTAACCAATGTGGTAAGAATGACAGGGCAGAGAACGGATTTGAGAGGCTTCTCAGGCTTACACTTGATAGGGTTTGGAATGAGGGAATAAGAGAGCGAGGAGTTGAAGATAACCCCGAGGTTTCAAGCTTGGGAAAGTGGATGGTGTGCTGTCATTACACTAAACGAAGAGAAGAATGACGTAGTAGATTGGAGATGGGGGAGGAGGTGATGCTGCGAAAGAAAAACAGTTTGGTTTCATCCATGGTAAATTTGAGGTGTTCAAACATGTTCGTCTGAAGATGTCTTTACAGCACAGATCTGGCCACTGGAACAAGACAGAAGGCAGAGGAGGGTTAGACAGGTAGAAGAATCAAGAAAGACAGAAATCAAGGGAGACGGGGCCGGCCCGTGGCCCAGTGGTTAAGTTCTCGCGCTCTGCTTTGGTGGCCCACGGTTTCACCGGTTCAGTTCCTGGGCGTGGACATGGCACCGCTCATTAGGCCATGTTGAGGCAGCATCCCACATAGCACAACCAGAAGGACCGACAACTACAATATACAACTATGTACTGGGGGGCTTTGGGGAGAAGAAAAAAAAAATTAAAAAGGGAAAACGCCAACAGATGTTAGCTCAGGTGCCAATCTTTAAAAACAAACCACAAAAGACAGAAATCAAGGGAGATTAACTTCAAAGAGAGGGTAATCAGAGGTGCCAAATACAGAGAAATATACTAATTTCAATGAGGACTGTAAAGAGATAATTGATCCCAGAAATTAAGAAGTCAATGATGACCTCAGAAGGGCATGCTTAGTAAAATGATGGGGATGGAATCAGACTGCAGAGAGGCAAGGAAGACAGGCAGGTAAGCAGCAAAAACAGTGAGTCCAGAGACTCAGTGCTTCTTTGGTACAGCTATGTCAAGTTACATGTCTCCATATGCACAAGGGCCAACACAAGAGAAGAGCCTACCACACTGAGCCAAATAACACATTAGTGGATAAAAGAACATTTCTTAACCAATGAGATCAAACTACATCATGAAAATGGGTTAAATAGAGCATATGGAACACTCACCAGCTCTCCAAGAAAAGAATCAACAATATTCCTGGAAAAGCCTGGACACTCACCTACATAGAGGCAGCACTGCCTGATGACGACGATTCTTTCCAGGTCCCTTCAGTCCCAGGATGCTATGCTCAAGCACAGCACCGTTACCTTTCAAACCATTCAGAAAAATTAAAAAGTCTGTTAGGCACAGGTTTCTTGAACACTTACTTTTTGGTAAGCTCTTTGATTTTGTCCTGATTCCTCTGATGATGAACTTGTATCTCTTCAATGCGGATCCGTCTGTCCTCCATGAGCCCTTCAACTTGCTCTCTAGAAAGCTTGGTTTGTTCTTCCATCTGAGCCTGCAGGGCTTCCACCTGGAAAGGCCAAAATGGGGGAGGCATCTGCTTCCATTTATTTCTTACCTCTAAAAGGGAGTCCTTCTGCAGAAAAATTTAAAGAACCCACAAACCAAAAACCAAAAGCACAGCAGCAAAACAAATAGAGAAAGTATCTCAACTATACTCCCCTGTATGTAACATCTTATAAATGGGGTTAGGCGACACAAGAGCAGACTCAGTCCACTCTGAACAGAGCACCTCCATCACATGAAGAAAGCTAGAAAATCCAGTTTCCTCTACCCTAAGATTCTCACCTTTGCACTATCTCCTTTTTTGGACTTTTAAGACTATCTTTCTTTTAAGACTCCCTAATTGCCCAGAAATAGAATGACTCTTTTCTTCATTTTTTAATTTAAAAAGCGGAGCAAAACGAGTATAATGTAGGGGGCTGGCCCCGTGGCCGAGTGGTTAAGTTCGCGAGCTCCGCTTTGGCAGCCCAGGGTTTCGCTGGTTCAGATCCTGGGCGCAGACACAGCACTGCTCATCAGGCCATGTTGAGGCGGCGTCCCACATGCCACAACTAAAAATATACAACTATGTACTGGGGGGATTCGGGGAGATAAAGCAAAAAAGAAAAAAGAGTATAATGTAATTTCCTTCTCCGAGTCTGGGTCTCAGAACTCCAAAAGTGGATACTGGCCAAAGGCAGAAACTGTCATTTAAATCAAGACATCCCACTGATAAGGACATGAACTTGCGTGCAACTAGATGAAAAATCATGCTTGTAGATGATATACAATTACCAGGTGGTAAGAGGATAATTCATTACTTTCCTAGACTTCAGAACACACGCACTAATAAACGGACATACCCCTAAAGCTCTATCTATCAGCAGAGACAGCTGCAACTCTCTGGCATCCCCCAGGCCAACCACGAAAGAACTCTGACTGTGTGCAGACTCGGTTGGGTGGGGCTTTGGAGGTAGGCTGGATGAACTGAAGGTTCGGGACAGCACTTCTAGAACGGCTGAACACAGAACAATGGTTTTAAAATAGAAGCTCCTGGAAATTAGGAACACCCTCGATTTTATCAATCACACGATGCCTGGATGGAACGTGTATAGAGAGCTACTTCTCACATGATAAGGAAGACATGCTGTGCAAAGCTAAGCTCGGGGACAGAAACTGTTTGGGTCTGCCAAAGCGAATGCTTTACCTGGAGGATAAGAGTTTGTATGTCTCCTTGGTATTGCTCAGAACTCTCCTCCTTCTCTCTCATTGCTGGTTTTCTTTTGCTCACTTTAGAATCTAAAATACAAAACAAAGATTAAGGAAGACCTTTACTCAGCTCTTCTTTCTCCTATTCAAGCATCAGCACTAACTTTGCAGAAGAGTTTGCCTTCATTTACTGAGAAGAGAAGGAAAGGAAGAAAAAGGAAAACATACAATGACTATAGTGTTTAATTTTTCAAACAGGACTCTCCAGGAGGGAACTCTGCTAGGATGTCACTTGGATAAAATATTCATTTTCCTAAAGAATAAACCACTGAATTTTCCTTTGGAGTTGTATCTGTTTTCTTTGTAAATGCGTATTTAATCAGAAAGGGTAAGGAATAAGAAAAACTAAATCTAAACATTTTGATTATGATGTATCGCCCAATTTTCAAAAGACAAGGCTATTTTATTTTATTTTATTTTTGCTGAGGAAGATTCACCCTGAGCTAACATCTGTGCCAATCTTCTTCTATTTTGTATGTGGGATGTTGCCACTGCATGGATGGGGAGTGGTGTAGGTCTGCATCTGGGAACTGAACCTGGGCCACCAAAGCAGAGCACACCAAACTCAACCACTAGTGGGGCTGAGCCCAAAAGACAAGGTTATTTTTAAAATAAGCAACACTAAGATTGCAATGAACAAAACTTAATTTCTTGGATGAAAGAAGCTCAAGCTAAGACAGTAGAGCTTAAAGTTCTTGTCACAAGAAAAAAAACTGTAACTATGTGTGGTGATCGAAGTTAACTAGACTCACTATGGTGATCATTTCGTAGTCAAGACAAACATAGAATCATTATGTTGTATACTTGAACCTATTATAATGTTATATGTAAATTATATCTCAATTAAAAAGAAAAGAAAGTTGGGGCTTGCCCAGTGGCGCAGCGGTTCAGTTCGCACGTTCTGCTCGGCAGCCTGGGGTTTGCTGGTTCGGATCCCCGGGGTGGACATGGCACCACTTGGCAAGCCATGCTGTGCCAGGCGTCCCACATAGAAAGTAGAGGAACATGGGCATGGACGTTAGCTCAGGGCCAGTCTTCCTCAGCAAAAAGAGGATTGCTAGCAGATATTAACTCAGGGGTAATCTTCCTCAAAAAAAAAAAAAAAAAAATTAAAAAAAAGAAAGAAAATTGGGATTTTCATTAAAAAAGAGAGAGAGAGAAAGAGAGAGAGAAGGAGATTGAGGCTTAGAGAGGCTAATAACACCCTGTGATTCCAGAAGTTGTGCAAATCTGCTTTATGACTATCACTATAAGCATGTTAATTGTATTTTTTTATTCTATTTCATTAAAACATCATGGAAAGGTTAAAAATAAAAGCAAAGTAAGATCTTAGGCCACTAGAGGCATCATTAAGAACATTCCTTATCACTGTATAGTAGGAAAAAATTTCTAATTATTTGCACTGAGTTTTTTGAATTCTGTAGCAATAAGAATTTCTAGTATTATGGTTAGTACCTGCTCTGAAAGCTGAAGATGCATTCTGTTCACATATATCTACAGCCTGGACAGTCTTTTGGAGAATGCTGACCTGAAGAAGCAAAAAGAAAGGTATAGAAGTAGCTTTCTTATAAATATAACATTTCACTTTTTAGCTTTAGTTCCACAGATCAAAAACTATTCATAAATTAAATTGGTCAAAATGGATATACTCACATAAGGATGTCATACATATGTGAGACCAAAGTGGACAAAGTAACAAATTGGATAAAACTCAGTGTTCCTACGATATAAACTAAAAAAATAAAATTTCAGAGTTACTTAGCAATATCTGCTCAAAAGAAAAAAAAGGTCTTTGACAGGGTCTTTAGAAAAGCAATGGAGATACAGAAGTATGCATATGTAGATACGTACAAAAATGCTCACTGAGGCACTGTTTATAGAGTGAAAAAATGGAAATAGTGTATACACACAAACATTTCTATAAGAATGGAAAAAAGAGTTTTATCTCTGGGGTATAGAATTATGGAACGTGCCACTTTTATGATAGATTGCTGAAACCTGTGTTTGTTTTTAATAAAGACCACACATTACTTTTGTAATCAGTATAAACAAAGATTAAAAAAGAAAGTTGAGGGGTGGTGCCGTGGCCAAGTGGTTAGGTTGGTGCACTCCACTTTGGTGGCTTGGGGTTCACCGGTTCAGATCCTGGGCCCAGACCAGCACACTGCTCATCAAGCCATGCTGTGGCAGCATCCCACATGGAAGAACTAGAAGGACTTATAACCAGGATATACAACTATGTAGTGGGGCTTTGGAGAGAAAAAGCAAAATTGAAAAAAAGGGAAGATTGGCAACAAATGTTAGCCCAAGGCCAATCTTCCTCACCAAAAAAAAGAAAAAAATAAAGAAAAAGAAAAGAAAAGAAAAGAAAAGAAAGTTGAGTATTGAAACCTGCTCCCATACAAGTCTGCTCCTGCTTTCCTCTCTAATCTCATCCAAAACCTCTACTCTGTACCTTAGGTTCCCAAATGGTGAAATGAGGTAAACAATGCTGCTTCCCAAAGTTTTTGAAGAAAAAGAATAAAATGATAAAGTTCTTTATAATTATGGAAAATGCTTTGAAAACTTAGGTAAAAATGGGACTATGATAGCTAATTCTCCTTCTATCTTCTTTAGCAAGTACCACAATGGCTCTAAGGACCTAGCCCATTCTGTAAAAGCCATGCCTACCAGAGATTACTTACTTTGTTGGGAGGCTCCTTATAGAAATAGGTCACCTCTCCAGTGTCTGTTCCCACAAGAGCCAAGAGATTCTGAATCTTTTTCTTGTCTTCTAGCTCCCTGTAATTCTCGGAGAGAGTAAGCACACATTGTGTCCAGAGTAAGTAAATGTTTCTGTTTAAAAGATCTCCCTTCTGACTTAGTTATTTTTAAAATAATGGTAATCTCAAGTTAAAATTGAATAAGACTTATCTAGACCTTAGCTCTAATTTTTAAAACATCAGGTATTTACATCAGGAACTCAGAGAGAAGGGGCCAGAAAATCTGAGTTGGTTCTAGAAAAGACCCACAGTGGTCCTAGGGTACACTGCTCAGATTCTCCTCTTGGGCACTGATGGGCTCACTCCCTCCACTGCCAGCGATGCTGCAGGCCGGGGCTCACCGCTGAACCTCTCTCCACAACTGCCACACCCACCAGTATGCCCAAGGGACAGCCGCACCCAGTGCCTGCTAATGTGGGGGTACAAAAGCCCAATATCTCTGAAGAGCCACCGCAGCGTCAAGGCCCCCGGGCAGTGGTGCAGGCCTGCTGTAATGGAACTGCAGCTCAAGCTCTGCCCTGCCACACCTTCCCTATTCCCTCCCAGGAGGCTCCTCCCGAGAGCGCTCCCCAGAAAACCTCCTGCAACAAACCTCCACCCAGAGTCTGTCCAGGGAACCCAAACTAAGATCGTTGATATCAGAAATGGACCAAGGAAGCAAACTCGAAAACGAGATTTCAGAGCCTGTCACATGCAGATGGTTGACAGCACATAGTGTTCTTAGGAGCAAGACAGACAGGTGGTCAACGGGGTACAGCTTAAACAATTAAAATAAAGGAAAGATGGAGAGAGGCTGAGGGCTGTGTCCTATACAAAATCACAATCTCTGGCCCATTTTCCATACCTCTGACAGTTTTAAAACCCAGAAACTACCACCTGAAGGAGAAGCTAGGTCTCCCAAGAGGTGAGACCCGGTGACACCACAGTAAGTGTACATGGTAATGACTCCCCCAGTCCTTCCCCAAAGGGCCTGTGGCCATTTTTTCAAGTAATTGTACACTGGGGAAAAGGAAATATCCTAGGCATTTCAAGGATTGCTGGATACAGGGTCTGAGTTGACACTGATGCCTGGTGACATGAAGCATTATCATGGTACTGGGGCATAGAGGAACCATGTAATAAAGAGAGGGTCCAGGTCCAGCTCACAGTGGGTCCACTGGATCCAGACCCAATCAATGGTCGTTTCCCCCATCTCCCAATGTATAACTGTGTATTTGGTAGTTGGCAAAACCTCCAAACTGGTTTCTTGGCTTCTGGGTTAAGGCAAGTGGAAGCCTCTGAAACTGCTCCTCCTCATCCCAGCCAAGATGGTAAAAAAAAGACCTAAAACACGTAGGGGTGGAGGTCTCCATCAAACCTCCGTTTAATTCACAAGTGTGATCTATGCAAAACCAGACGGGTAACAGTAAGTCCCAAGTAGGCCCCAATTTCAGTCACTGTGCCAGATGCAACTCTGCTAGAGCAGATTAACTTGGCCTTAGGTACATGGCAGTTCTCATTCACGCTGGGTAAATAACAGTATACTTTTATAGTCTTTCCTTAGAACACGTTAACTCTTCTGCTCTTTATCAAATCAGTCCAAAGGGACCTGGATCCGGCCATTCCACAGATCACATTAGTTCACTATTGATGATATTACATTAAATCAGATTAGATAGACAAGAAATGGCAAGTGCATTAGAACCCTTGGTAAGATACATGTGTTCCAGAGGGTTGGAGGGAAACCTTACAGGGCACATCAGTGAAGTTTCAGGGGTCTGATCTAGGCATGCCAGGACATATCCTTCAAAGTAAAAGAGAAATTATTGCATCTCACACCTATCACCACCAAGAAGGAAGCATACTCCTGGAAGGCGAGCTTTCAGTGTGGCCCAGAGTTGAAAGGAAGTTCTGCATTAGGTCAAGGCTGAAACTATTAAGGAGACTGAATGAGTAATCAAAACCTCCTGACAAAGACAAACCCTGGACCTGATGGCTTCACCGATGGCTGCAATGGTGAACTCAATCCAACATTTAAAGAAGGACTGTGATATTGTGATTTATAAGAAACATATATTTGGTATTCAGATGACCAAAATATATTTCTCATATATATTGGTCTTCCTCCAGTCTGCAGCTCACAGGTCCCAAAACCCTTGGAATTTCCTCAGCGCTGAGAGTAAGAAGAGTGTGTTTTGTTATGTTAATAAGGTGATGTTTGGAAAGCACCTAAGGGTGGGGGCTGGTTGCCAATAGAGCCAACCATGTGATCAGAGGGTTGACCTCTCAGTCCCAGCCCCCAACCCCGGGGTGGGGGTTGGGGGGGGGAGGCTTGAGGCTGAATCAACTGCCAATGGCCAATGACCTAATCAATCAAGACTACATAATGAAGCCTCCATAAAAATTCCAGAGGACAGCTTCTCAGCCCTCTTCCTTTTCAGGGAGCTTCCATGCTGGGGAACCAGAACGCTTCCGTGTGCCACCTCGCCAGGCTCCAAGATCCTAGAGGACAGGAGCTTGTTCAGGACTTTGCCCTATGTATCTCTTCATCTGACTGTTAATTCATATCCTTTGTAATAAATAGGCAATCTAGTGAGTAAACAGGTTTTCTTGAGTTCTGTGAGCCATTCCAGAAAATTAATTGAGGGGCCGGCCCAGTAGCACAGCAGTTAAGTTCACACGTTCCAATTCAGCGGCCCCAGGTTCACCAGTTTGGACCCCAGGTGTGGACGTGGCACCGCCTGTTGAGCCATGCTGTGGCAGGCATCCCACATATAAAGTAGAGGAAGATGGTCACGGATGTTAGCTCAGGCCCAGCCTTCCTCAGCATAAGGAGGAGGATTGGCGGTAGAGTTAGCTCAGGGCTAATCTTCCTCAAAAAAAAAAAAAAAAGAAAAGAAAAGGAAAAAAAGAAAATGAATTGAAACCAGTGGAGGGGGTCATGGGAAACTCTGATTTATAGCCAGTTGGTCAAAAGTTCAGGTAACAATTTGGGCTTATGACTGGCATCTGAAGTGGAGGGTGGTCTTGTGGGACTGAGCCCTTCCCTGTGGAATCTGATTCTATCTACGGGTAGATAGTGTCAGAATTGAGTTGAATCCCCAGACATCCTGCGGGCATCCAAGAACCACTTGTTGGTGTGGGGAAGCCTCCACACACACAGACAACTGAGTTCAGGAACCCTTTGCAAACACTAATACCAATCATTCTCAAACTTTTCCAAAAAGAGAAGAAGAGGCAACACTTCCTAACTCATTCTATGAGGCCAGCACTGACCTGACACCAAAGCCAAAGACACTACAAGAAAACTAGACAAACCAGCATCCCTTGTGAACACTGATGCAAAAGTCCTCAACAAAATTCTAGCAAACCAAATGCAGCAGCAGGGGCTGGCCCAGTGGCACAGCAGTTAAGTGCCCACATTCTGCTTCGGCAGCCCGGGGTTCGCCAATTCGCATCCCAGGTATGGACATGGCACCACTTGGCAAGCCATGCTGTGGCAGGCGTCCCACATATAAAGTAGAGGAAGATGGGCATGGATGTTAGCTCAGGGCCAGTCTTCCTCAGCAAAAAGAGGAGGATTCCCAGCAGATGTTGGCTCAGGGCTAATCTTCCTCAGAAAAAAAAAAAAGGCTTATATACCATGATTAAGTAGAATTTATTCCTGGAACACAAGCATAGTTTAACGTATGGAAATCGATCAATGTCATACACTACATTAACAGAATGGAGGAAAAAAACACACCATCAGCAATTGATACAGAAAATACATTTGACATTTTACGTCAACACCTTTTTTATGGTAAAAACATTGAAAGTTTTCCTCTAAGATCAAGAACAAGACAAAGATGCCCACTTTCACAACTTCTATTTAACACAGTATCAGAAGTCCCAGCCAGAGCAAGTAGGCAAGAAAACAGACATCCAAATTGGAAAGAGAGAAGTAAAATTATCTTTGTTCACAGATGTCATGATCTTATATGTGGAAAACCCTAAGGGTTTCACAGAAAAAAGAAAAAGGAAAGTGTTGTTAGAACTGATAAGTGAATTCAATAAAGTAGCAGAAGACAAATTCAACATGCAAATCAGTTCCATTTTTATACACCAACAATGAACAATTTGAAAAGGACATTAAGAAAAGAATTCAACTTACAATAGCATCAAAAGGAACAAAATACTTAGGAATTAATTTAACCATGGAAGTCAATGACTTGTACACTGAAAACACTGCTGAAAGAAAAGAACACATAAACAAATGGAAAGACATCCCGTGTCCACGAACTGGAAGCCTTCATACTGAGATGTCAATACTACCCAAAGCAATCTACAGGTTCAGTGCAACTGCTATGAAAATCTCAATGATATTTTTGCAGAAACAGAAAAATCCATCCTAAAATTCATACAGAATCTTAAGGGACTCCAAATAGTCAAAATGATCTGGAAAAAGAACAAGGTTGGAGGACTCATATTCCTTGATTTCAAAATGTACTGAAAAGCTACGGTAATCACAAGAGTGGTACTGACATGGTGACGACATACGGACCAACAGAGGAGAACAGAGAGCCCAGGGAGAAGTCTGCAGATATGGTCAAATGATTTTCAACTTTCAATGGGGAAAAGATAGTCTTTTCAACAAATGGTGCTAGGAAAACCAGATATCCACATGCAAAAGAACGAAGTCAGACCCTTAACTAATACCATCCACAAAAATTAACTCAAAATGAACTAAAGACCTAAATGTAAGAGCTAAAACCATAAGACTCTTAGAAGAAAACATAGTGATATTGGATTTGGCAATGATTTCTTGAATACAACACCAAAAGCAGAAGCCACAAAAGAAAAAATATACAAACTGGACTTTATGAAAATTAAAACTTCTGTGTATCAAAGGACACTATCAACAGAGTAAAATGGCAATCCTCAGAATGAGAAAACATTTGCAAATCACTTATCTGATAAGGGATTAGTATTCAGAATATTTAAAGAACTCCTAAAACTAAACAACAACAAAAACCAAAAAACCCAATTTAAAAATGGGCAAAGGACTTGAATAGATATTTCTCTAAAGAAAATATACAAATGACCAACAAGCACGTGAAAAAATGCTCAGCATCACTAATCATTAGGCAATGGAAATCAAAACAATGAGATATGACTTCATATCCATTAGGATGGCTACTATTAAAGAATTTCAAAAAAATAAATAAAAAACAGATGCCTGTCCAGTGGCATAGTGGTTAAGTTTGCAGCCCAGGATTTGTGGGTTCAGATCCCAGGCATGAACCTAGCACTACTCGTCAAGCCACGCTGTGGTGGCATCCCATATAAAAGACAGGAAGATTGGCACAGATGTTAGCTCAGCAACAATCTTCCTTGAGCAAAAAGGAAGATTGGCAACAGATGTTAGCTCAGGGCCAGTCTTCCTCACAAAAAAATAAAAAATAAAAAACAAGTGTTGTTATGCATGTGAAGAAACTAAAACCCTTGTGCATTGCTAGTATTAATGTAAAATGGTGGTTCTTCAAAATAAAATTAAATATAGAATTAACATTTGATACAGCAATTTCACTTCTGGGTATGTACACAAAAGAACTGAAAGCAGGGACTCGAACAGGTTTTTGCACACCAGTGTTCACAGCAGCATTACAATAGTGAGAAGGTGGAAACAACGCAAGTGTCCATCAACAGATGAGTTTATCCATTTAAGCATTCACCAACAAAATGTAGTATGTATATACAATAGAATATTATTTGGTCTTAAAAAGGAATAAAATTCTGATTTTATTTTACAACACGGATAAATCTTGAAAACAATATGCTAAGTGAAAAATACTAGAGACAAAAGGACAAATACTTTATGATTCTACTTATATGAGGTAGCTAGAATAGTCAAATATGTAGAGACAGAAAGGAGAAGAGTGGTTACTAGGGGCTAGGAGGAGACGGGAATGGGGAGTTACCTATGGACGCAGAGTTTATGTGTGGGATGAAGAAAAAGTTCTGCAGATGAATAGTGCTATGGCTGCAAAATAATGTGAATGTATTTAATGCCACTGAACTATACACTTAAAAGTGACTAAAATGGTGAATTTTATGTTAAGTGTATTTTACCACAATTAAAAAAAAAAAATAGAAGAAGCGTACTATAGCGGATGCTGTGGAACACTGCTCAGATGCCGCCTTCAGGATCATGACACTCACCCCCCAGGAGCTGAGTCCTTCTCCAAGAACTGCCCTTAGCTGAAGGGGGCTGCCTCTCCCAAGCTTACACCTACCCCACCGCCCCCCAGTGGCAGTCTAAATCCAATGGCTGATCATTGGGTGGGCACAGAAGTCTGACTCCTTTGCCTCTGAAAGGCCCTCCTAGCCTCCGAGCTCCCTGTGGGGTCAGCTAAAGCCTGTTACCACTGTATCACAGTTCAGTTCTCTCTCTGCCCAAATCTGCTCACAGGTGTTATTCCTGAGAGTCTCCCTACGCAGCACCCCGCAGGCAAATCTGCATCTTGGAGTCTGTTTCCTGGGGATACACACTGAGACAAGGCCAGAGAAACTCATCTTGTTTAGTGTAACTTTTAACTAGAAGGCCACAATTTCCCTTCTCCCACCTGGTACCTGATTCTCAGCCGGTCATTTTCTGAGTAGAGGCGTAAAACATGTTCCCTCTCCTGGAAGAGGCAGACCTGCATATCGCTTAGAGCTTTCTGCAATTCAGCAATCTCTTCCTCCCTCTGCTGCAAATCCCACTCTAGTTTATGCTGGAAAAAAAAAAGGTATTGGGCTTCATAGGAGTGTCTCTTATTGGATATGGAGGAGTCAGTTCATGTAGAAATATTACAAAGTGAACGGTTTCACCAGTACAGAATTCACATAACGACAACAGCTTGCATAGACTTGAGTTTAAAAGCTACAGGGTGCATGTAATGTTTGCACATGAGGTCAAAGCTCTCCTATCTTCCTTACAGACTACAGAACCCAGAACGCCATATGACTCACCTGCTCCAGTCACACTTTTTTTTAATGCTTTCTATGTAATAAGCATTATGAAAGTTGGGAAACACAGATGAAAAGATACGACTCCTGCCTACGGAGCTGAGGAATTTTGTGGGGAGACAGACATACAAACAATTAAAATAAAATAATTATTTCATGGAGGAGCATGCCTGGTAACTGGTGGAGGGGGAAGTGCAGAAAGAGTAAGATCTTGGAAGCCTTTCTGGGAAGTGAGAGACCACCACCAAAAAGCTGAACCTTGAAGGATGGAGACTGCTAGAGACAAGCAGAGTCGAGGCACTCTCAGGAAAGACAGTAGTAAATACGGAACCATCAGAGCCTTAAATGTTTGGACAACTACAAACATTTCAATATTATTGCAATGCAAAGTGGGAGGCAGACTGGAGAGGTATGAGGCTGCAGGCCATTCTAAGAGTTCAGGGGAGAGACAATGAGAGTTTGAACCAGTGTTGTGGCAACAGTGATGAAGTTGTTGGAATAAATAAAGCGATATTTAGGAAGCAGAACCAACAGGACTTACCAAACGACTGAACGTAGGGGCTGGGCAGAATTGTAGACAATGATACCATTTACTAAGACACAGAATAAAGGAAAAGTACAGAGACGAGGAATGGAGGGAGGGGAACAGTAGTGGTATACGTGTATGTGTGGGTAGGGTAGAAAAAGGAGATTAATTCAGATATGGACATATTAACGGGAAGCTCAGGAGAAAAGTCAGTCAGCATTAGTTATTTGGATGTCATCATCCCATGTGTAGTAGTATAACGCATGGATAAAATGAGACATTTACAGTGGAATCTGGAAGAATTTGACATTTAAGACTAAGGAAGGGGAACTGCTAGTGGAAACTGAGAACTGGTCAAAGAGGTGAGACAGACACTGGGAAAGAAAAATGACACAGAAATCAAGAAAGGAAGAGAGTTTTCAGAAAGGAGAAGTCAATAGTGACAAATTCTTCAAAGGCCACAAAGAGAAGAGAGAATTTTGGCAAACAGATATTGGACACCACAGGAGGTACAGGTTTAGTGGAACAGTGAGGAAAGAGACCAAACTGCAGTCACTGAGTCAACGACTGGGTGATGAAGCCAACTATTCAGAAGTGTGGTTGAGAAAAGAGAGCCGTGCATATGAGCGCAGCTGGAGGGGGAAACACAACGAAAGAAAGGTGCTCTTTTATTTATTTATTTATTTTTTAAGATTTTATCTTTCCTCCTTCTCCCCAAAGCCCCCCAGTCCATAGTCACATATTTTTAATTGTGGGTCCTTCTAGTTGTGGCATGTGGGATGCTACCTCAGCATGGCCTGATGAGTGGTGCCATGTCCGCGCCCAGGATCCAAACCAGCGAAACCCCGGGCCACTGAAGCGGAGCTCGAGAACTTAACCACTCGGCCACAAGGCCGGCCCAACGGTGCTCTTTTAAGTTGGGAAAGACTTGAGTATGTCTATATACTGAGGAAAAAAAGCCAATGTTAAGCAAGAGGCTAAAAATAGAACACAAAGAGGAAGGAGAAGATGAAGCGCGGTTTCTTAGGAGGAAAAAGGGATGGCCAGGGAGAGTGTTGCATCAATGCAGCCTGAATAGGCAGAGACATCCTGTCCCTGAAGCAGTAAGAAGGAAGAGAGATGGAGACAGACGTAGGTACCTGTGTGTGGATGGGCAGGAAGGGAATTCATGCATGACTGCTGGTATTCCCTCTGTGGTCTAGGAAGGGAGACTGCCTGATGAGAGAGGAGGGCTAAGAAGCAGTTGCAGGCTGGAGGAGAGCAGTGAAGGTATGGCACAGATGTGCAGGGAGAGCGAACCAATTATGGATAGGTAAGAAAACTGCTGTGTAGTGACTGAGGATACATATGAACTTGTTTACCATGAATTTATTCTGTAATGATTTCTGACCTTTCTAGAGCAGCAGTTCTCAACTGGGGGGCAATTTTGCCTATGCCCCCAACAGAAATTTGGCAATGTCTACAGGTATTTTTTTTTTTTTGAAAGATTTTATTTGTTTTCCTTTTTCTCCCCAAAGCCCCCCGGTACATAGTTGTGTATTCTTCGTTGTGGGTTCCTCTAGTTGTGGCATGTGGGACGCTGCCTCAGCGTGGTCTGACAAGCAGTGCCATGTCCGCGCCCAGGATTCGAACTGACGAAACACTGGGCCGCCTGCAGCGGAGCGCGCGAACTTAACCACTCAGCCACGGGGCCAGCCCCGTCTACAGGTATTTTTGATGGTCACAACTAGTGGTGGAGTAGCGGGCAGTGTGCTACTGGTATCTAGTGAGTAGAGGCCAAGGATGCTGCCAAACAGCACACAAGGCACAGGATAATCCTCACAACAAAGAATTACCAAGCCCCAAATGTCAATAATGCCAAGATTAAGAACTTGTGTTCCAGGAGAATAGATGGTTAGAGAAATAGACTAAGTTATAGCTCAGGTTTTTGCCATGCAAGTGGAACAAACAATAAGCAAGGGGCCAAGCAACTGTACAGGCAGCACAGTTATTACCAAGGTGACACATGACGGGCTTCAGGTTAGAAAAGAAGGACATGATGTCAGACGCTGACATGCAACACTTAGAAAATGAACAGTCAAGGAACTACAGAGGTAACGATGCAGTTAAATGAAGTCAGGCTTAACGGGCTGAAAGAACTAGAAGTATGAGACTGAAATGTATGAGTTTAAGATTTTAGGGGCCAGCCCGGTGGCACAGTGGTTAAGTGCGCATGTTCTGCTCCTGCGGCCCGGGGTTCGCTGGTTCAGGTCCCGGGTGTGGACATGGCACTGCTTGGCAAGCCATGCTGTGGTAGGCGTCCCACATATAAAGTAGAGGAAGATGGGCACAGAGGTAAGCTCAGGGCCAGTCTCACTCAGCAAAAAGAGGAGGATTGGCAGCAGTTAGCTCACGGCAAACCTTCCTCAAACAAAAAAAAAAAAGAGAGAGATTTTAGAGGAGGAGCCATTTGGGGGGATTATGATCCACTGAGGGATCCAAAGGGTGGGTAGCTAGGCTGGGGTAGAAGGGAGTCAAAAAATAATATTTTTTATAAAATATCTGCTTGGGATACAAGCCAGCACTTCCAGATCTTCCCTTAGTAACGAATAACTTAATCTGAGTCCTAAAAGGGCTTGCATAATCTCTTTACCTGGCCGTCACAAGCTTCTCTGTAGAGTTCCAGTTTCTTCAATAGGTCCTCATTTTCTGCCTCACATTCAGCCATTTTCTTTTGATAATATTCTAGAAGCTCCTGAGAAGGGCAGAGGATGGCCAGACGATCTTCGACGGAAGGCAAGGGAGTTGACTCCATTGCCTCTGAGAAAGACACTCCCCTCCACCTGGGAGAACCACTGAAGCCACCGGAAACACCACGTCTGAAGACAGTTGTCAGCCCATGTGAAATTTGAAAGGACATATTCATTAAACTGTCTGAACATTTATGAGACATTATGGTTTCTTAAATAAAAAAGGGGTTTATGTTCTTAAAGTGCTTATAATTAAGGTGCTCGCAAACCTGGAAAGTTTGATGTTACAGGTTAGTGAATAATCTTATGAACTGCTTTCCAAGTATTAAAGGCTTAAAGCTGGTTTCAAAATACATGTTAGAGAATAAAGAGATCATTAAAAAAAAACAGAGGAGCCGGCCCAGTGGCAAAGTGGCTAAGCTCGCACAGTCTGCTTTGGCGGCCTGGAGTTTGCAGGTTTGGATCCTGGGTGCAGACCTCCACACAGCTCATCAAGCCATGCTCTGGCGGCATCCCACATACAAAGTAGAGGAAGACTGGCACAGATGTTAGCTCAGGGCCAATCTTCCTCACCCCGCCCCCCGCCAAAAAAAAGAAACAGAAACTAAGTAAGACCAGATAGTAACAGAAAATACTATAAGACATATAGCAATAGGGGCCGGCCCAGTGATGCAGCAGTTAAGTGCACACGTTCTGCTTTGGCAGCCCAGGTTTTGCTGGTTCGGATCCTGGGTGTGGACATGGCACCACTTGGCAAGCCATGCTGTGGCAGGTGCGTCCCACATAGAAAGCAGAGGAACATGGGCATGGATGTTAGCTCAGGGCCAGTCTTCCTTAGCAAAAAGAGGAGGATTCCCAGCAGATGTTAGCTCAGGGGTAATCTTCCTCAAAAAAAAAAAAAAAAAAGACATATAGCAACAGGAACACATATGCTGCTGGTGGAGTGTAACTTGGTGAAACTACTGACAGTTAATTAGCAGAATTTAGTAAAAGCTGCAATTCCTTTTGTCCTAGAGAAACTCATGCACATATGAACAAGGTTACAGATATGAAAATGTTCATAGTAACATTATTTGTAATAACAAAACAGTAAACTTTCCAATGTCCATTCAACAGGATAATGGATAAACTGTGGTATATTGATACAATGGAACACTATTCAGAGTTATTAGAAACTATGAATTAGAGATACATATACAAACATGAAAAAATCATCCAAATGATATTAAGTGGAAAACTGTATGTAGATGCATATACAGAAGATATTACCATTTATTTAAGATTGGAACTTGCAAATTAAAACAGTTTATTTTTAGTGATAGGTTTATAAGTAGTAAAATTATTAAGGAAGGGAATGATAAATCTAAGATTCAGCATTAGAAAATGTAGCCTAGTTAGTAACCACACGACCACACCAGACCCTAATCTCTAGCACTGCAGGCATTTCAATTACACAGACCAACACCAGACAAGATCAAAGGCTGGACAAGAAGTCTGTCTGTTTGCTTTTAGCAAACAAGAGACTTGAGCAAAAACAATGAAAGCTAGAAAACAAGTGATGCAGAAGCAGAAAAACTCTCAAATGAAAATTAATCCACTTTGGCTAACTGCCAGCAATTTACAACATAACAATTAGCAGAGTGAAGAAACCTTATACCAGAAGCCCAGTGTTGTAGTTAATGAAGGTTATGGCCGGCACTTTCAATAAACGAGCATGTATAGAAGAGAATTAAAATTCACTTTCAGGTAGCAGGAAGAAAAAACAATCTAATCTTGTCTCAGTCATTAAAAGTTCACGATGGAAATACTGTTTCACTTAAGGTTTCATGTTTTCAAAGTGCCTTATAACGACCCTGGGAAATAGGTTAAGAGATGAACTAAGAGGTATCTCTGAGACTTTGTAGATGAGAGTCGTGGCAGTGAGGATGAGGATGGTGTGTTCTGCAGCAAGCTGACGGCAGAACCAGAGCTGAAAGTGCCCTGTGTTTGTGTGTTGGTTGTTTCCACTCTAATCCAGGATTCACAGGCACTGTCTGAGGCCCACCTAAACTGCCTGGATTCTGGTATTAACATTCAACGTGTCCTAATTTTTAATCTAAATCCAACATAGTAAGAATAGAGAAATGAGGTCTAACATAGCCCCGATCCAGAGTCTGGAAGCACGCTTCCAAATCCCCGCTAGTTCCTAGCGTAACTTACACTAAGGCTACAGAAGTCTTGATTCTTTAACAACTCAAAAATAAGCAAATGTCTTACTTTCTGCAGACAGGGGTATGTGTCGGCGTAAAGTTCATGCTGTCTTTTTCACACCTGTCAAATAGACAAAAATTCAGAATGAGGGGTCAGGTATAGAAAAAAACAGTAGAGGACGTAGACTAGTTCCTTCTGCAGCATCATCAGATGCGCCTGTTGGTGAGAGGGTGGTGTTTTAAAATGTAGTATTCTTTAAAGTAATTCCACACCCTGAAGTTCTATGACTTGTGGATTTTTTATTTATTTTTTATTTTATTAAAGATTGGCCCTGAGCTAACATCTGTTGTCAATCTTTATTTTTTCCCTTCGTCTGCCCAAAGTCCCCCCAGCACAAAGTTGTATATTCTCGTTTTAGGTCCTTCTAATTGCGCTATGTGCTCTGTGGGACGTTGCCTCAGCATGGCTCAATGAGCGGTGCTGGGGCCACATCCAGGATCTGAACTGGCAAAATCCTGGGCCACCGAAAAGGAGCACTCGAACTTAACCACTTGGCCACGGGGTGGTTCCCTGACTTTTGGATTTTGATAACGCATTCTTCCTCACTGTTTTCAAACAAAATCAGAATGGCATTTATATTTGGATGGATAAGCACAAACAAAGAAAAGACTCCTTAGTATGAAGGTTATCTACAACAACGCAAAACAAAATTACAATCTTTTCACTGAAATTATAGGAGAGGAAGATGCAGAGAAGTTTCTTCTTCTTTTTTTTTTTTTGAGGAAGATTAGCCCTGAGCTAACTTAGCTGAGAAAGACTGGTCCTGAGCTAACATCCATGCCCATCTTCCTCTACTTTATATGTGGGACGCCTACCACAGCATGGCGTACCAAGCGGTGCCATGTCCACATCCAGGATCTGAACCGGTGAACCCCAGGCCTCCGAGATGCAGAACGTGTGAAATGCGGAACGTGTGAACTTAACCGCTGAGCCACTGAGTGGCCCCATGCAGAGAAGTTTCTAACAAGCAAGAGACAGTAAGTGGAAAGTAAGGTAGAGGACCCATTATGCTAAATTTAAGATAAATACAAAGCCACTGATATTATCTTTTTTGGTGTGCGGTATCTACTGTTTTATCTTAGGGAAAGAAAAATAATTACTTATAAGCTTTAAAAGGTTCACTCACAAATCTTCCAATTGATAACAGAGATCTTGAATTCCTCTACTTTGAACAATCTTATCACAGAATTTTCAAGAAGATAAATGTGACAGTCAGGGAGGGAATGCCATGTTATATGAGGGAGGGAGGGAAGTTGAAGGGGAAAAAGGGAGGGGAAAAAAGGAGAGAGAGGAAAGGAGGAGGGGCAAAGGAGGAAAAGGGAGAGGAGAGGAGGGGCAGAAAGAGAAGGGGAGAGGGCGAGTTTTTTTTACTAGATTTGAAGAAAGCTCTCTTATCAAGCATGCTTTGTTAACCCATGCTGATTTTGAGCAAGTTGAGAGATGATGTAATGTTCTGTTCTTGAGTTCTCCTACCTGGTATATATCTGCTTAAAATCTGGAGTCCTTTGGGGAAGAATTTTGTGACAAAGAGTGAAAAGAGGTCATCACAGTTGTTAACTCTGCATACCATTCTCCGGCTCAGAACCCAGAGTGCCTCTGCCCTCCTTCTCGAGCTCTCTCTTCTTCTGGCTTCCAGGACACCACATGCTCCTGGCTTTCCTCCCTCCTCACAGGTCATTAGTTTTCAGTCACTGCTGGTTCTTCTTCACCTTTACCTATACTTTTGCCCTGGTGACCTCCTCAAGTCTCACAGTTTTAAATACCATATACACACTAATAGTTTTCCAATTTGCATCTCTAGTCCTGACTCTGCGCTCCACCCCAGATTCACACATATCTGACTGCCTACTCCATATCTCCACTTAGATGTCTAACAGGTCTCTCAGGCACCTAACAAGTTCAAAACTGAGCTCCTGATGTATACCTCCTACCGCCAAAACCTGCTCTTCTCTCAGAATTCTACGTTCCAGTAATCAGTGACTCTATCCTGCCAGTTGCTCATGACAAAAAACTTGGTTGGAGAAATTTTACTCCTCTCTTTGCCTTACATGCTACACTCAACCCATTAGCAAATCCTATTGGCTCTACCATCTAAATATCTAAAACCTGACAACCACTCGTGCCAATCTCTCCCTGTTTCAATCCGCTGTAATTTCTTACCTGGCTGACTACAATAGCCTCTTAACTGGTCTCTCTGCTTCCACTCTCCACCTCATCCCCTGCAGCCTATTCTCAACACAGCAGTTAGAGAGATGATTTAAAATACAAGTCAAAACACAAGACTCCTCTGCTCAATAGCCTTCAGCGACCTTTCATTTTACTCAGAGAACCAAGGTCATTAATACGGCCTACGAGGTCCTACAAGACCCGGCTACTCCATTACTTCTGTAACCTCACCTCTACTCTCCCCCTTGCTCACTGCTCCAACAACACTGGCCTCTTTGCTGTCCTTCACACACGCCAGGCAAACTACTTCAGAGCCACTGCACTTGCAGGTCTCTCTGCTGTGACGTTCTTTGCCCATGCATCTACATGGCTTGCTCCCTCTCCCGCAAGGTGAGACTGTCACTTCGGTGAAGTCTTCCCTGACCACTCTAGCACCCCCTTATCCATCTTCTCCACAACACTTATCACCATTTGACATATTTCATTCATTTATTGACTCCCCACACGGGAACATGGCAACTCACTAAGGCCAGGCATTTCTTATCTATTGTGTTCACTGCTGCATCCCTAACGAAACTAGGAACTAAAAAAGTGCCTGGTTCAGAGTTGGTGCTCAATAAAATTTTTTTTAATTCTCAATATGAATTTGAAAGGCTCTATTAAACATCTTTTCTTCTACTGGCAGTCTATACAATCTGGCTAGAAAATCTGTTCCTGCTGTCATTCCATCTGTTTTCTTTTACCAGCCAACTCTTCAAATATGCCATTTCTCTCTAATTCTCTTTTTTCTGCTTTTTCTCCCCAAAGCCCCCCAGTACGTAGTTGTGTATTTTTAGTTGTGGCATGTGGGACGCCGCCTCAGCATGGCCTGACAAGCGGTGCCACGTCTGTGCCCAGGATCCGAACCGGCGAAACCCTGGGCCGCCAAAGCAGAGTACGCGAACTTAACCACTTGGCCACGGGGCCGGCCCCTAATTCTCTCCTTTAAAAGTGACTACTCTCCTCCTTCAAACTCACGTCCTTCCACAAAACTTCTCCAAATTGGGCCAATTTCCTCTTATAAAAAGTAACCTAGAAAATAAAACTGGTAATTGGGTTGGTATGGTACGCTCATGGGTGACTTTTTTTTTTTTTGGAGGAAGATTAGCCCTGAGCTAACATCCACTGCCAATCCTCTTTTTGCTGAGGAAGACTGTCCCTGAGCTAACAACTGTGCCTGTCTTCCTCATTTTATATGTGGGACGCCTGTCACAGTGTGGCTTGACAAGCGTGCATAGGTCCATACCCAGGATACAAACTGGCAAAACCCGGGCTGCCAAAGCAGAGCGCGCAAACTTAACTGCTGCGCCACCGGGCTGGCCACGGGTGACATTTTTTTAAACAACTTTATTGAGATATAATTCACATTCCATACAATTCACTCATTTAAAGTATACAACTCAATGATTTTAGTATATTCACAGATACGTGCAATCATCACCACAGTCAATTGTAGAAGATTTTCATCACTTCAAGAAATCCTATATCCTTTAGCTATCACTCTTGTACTCTAGCCCTAATCAACCACTAATCTACTTTCTGTTTCTATAGATCTCCCTCCCTGTTCTGGACTTTCATATGAATAGGATATTGTATGCAATCTTTTTTTTTTTTTTTTTGGTGAGGAAGATTGACCCTGAGCTAACATCCATTGTCAATATTTTTGCTTGAGGAAGACTGTCCCCAAGCTAACATCTGTGCCAATCTTCCTCTATTTTGTATGTGGGATGCCACCACAGCATGGCTTGATGAGTGGTGTGCAGGTCCACGCCCAGGATCCAAACCTGTTAACCCTGGACCACTGAAGCAGAGCATGCGAACTTAACCACTACACCACGGGGCCGGCCCATGTGTCTGGCCTTAGATGCCCAGCTTCTTTCACTTAGCATGATGTTTTCAAGGTTCATCCATGTTATAGCATGTATTAGTACTTCATTCCTTTTTATAGCCAAGCAACATTCCATTTTATGAATATGGGTGACATCTTTAAGATAAATTTCACTGTTCTAAAACTATTTAAGGGCAACTTGGAACTTTAAAAGAGGCTTCTAACAACCTGCAACCTCTCTTCTCCCTCATAGTGAGTGACTGTCCTCACTCCTTCTCCTTCCGAAGATTACTGCACATCTATAAAGAACGATCTATGCTCATGTCTCATTTAGTTTTACAACCTCTAACAATCTGATTTCTAATACAACATCTGAACTGAAGTTGCCCTTCTTGGTCAGCAGACATTCACATTAATAAATTTAATTGCTCTTTTGAGTTCCCATCCTTCTCCATCCAAGTCACTCCTTGATCTGTATGCTTAATTTGACAGTATTGACCACCTTTTAAAAAAAATATATTGCTTTATAGTTGAGAGCATGGGCTCTGAAATAAAGCACATTTGGGTTTGAGTCAAAGCTCTGTCCTTTATTAGCTGTGTGACCTCAGGCAAGCTATTTAACCTCTCTAAACTTCAGTGAGTTATCAGAAAAATGGGAAGAATAAGAGTATATATACTATAGGTTGGTGTAAGGATTAAATGAAATAATGAATAAAAGGGCTGAGCAGTGTCTGACACACATAAGCACAAAATAAATACGGATTGTTTTTTTACTGAAAATTTTACTCCCTTGGTTCAAAAGGTTCTGTCTTCAACTTTCCTTACTACTTCTTCTATCCATTCATTTGGGAACATCATTATTCCTACTGCTCTTATGGTTACCTCTATCATCTAAAACACTACCTGGCACAGAGTAACTAACAACTACTTCTTGAATGAATAAAGGACATCTCTTTCAATCTCCTGTTGAATTTCCACTTATGTAGTGGACATTTTCACCTATATGTTCCATTGGAACTTGAAATGTGTAACTTAAAAAAAAATCACTCATGTCACTTATTTTTTAACACCTCAAAGCTAATACTTCCCAAACCTAATACATCATCTTTTTCATCCAAACATGCTCCTTCTGACTTTCCTATATTAGTTACTGATTCCCCATCTTCCAAGTAACCTAGATTTGAACATTTAAATCCATCATTTGAGTACTCCTTCTCTTGACTCTCCCATCCAACCATATGAAAATCCTGTATATTCTTTATGAACAACGACCATGTTAATTCAGGATCTCCATATTTTCTTACCCATTCTGCTACAATGGCTCAACTATCTACCCACTCTTTGTCTCCCTGGACCATCTTCTTAAAAATCAGTAGCTTCTCATAGCCTAACCCATCAAATCAAACTCAGCCTAGACATCACACCTTTCTGTTTAAGGACCAAAACTATTTCTCCTGCCTTATTTCCCTCTCCTCCCTTAAATGTACCTTCAGTGTCCGCATAGCTTTTTCACCTCCATGCCTTTGTTCACGAGCCTCCCTCCTGCTAGAACATAACTCCTTCCGCTCTCGTAACTTCACTTAATGAAACCCAGTCTGTACATAAAAACTCCCCCCTTATGTCCTTCCTGAGTCTCTCTATACAAAATGGTTTGTCAAAATGACCTAACTGCAAAAGAATTGCATTTGTAATTCTCTAAAATTTAACATATTAGAGTTCTTTGTTGCTATCATTTCCTCCTTGATACCGTATGTTCCTTGCATACAGAAACTGTCTTACTCATCAGTGCTTCTCCCAAAGGAATAACACCCTTGTTGATAGATAACTTAATGGGTTTCAGCTAGCTTCTATTCTTCCATCTCTGTGACATCCTTGCTTAGGTATATTCTTTTATAGCTTGTCTACTTACAATTAACATTGCTAAGCACTTTGATATTTATTTTATTTACCCCTACAACAACTCTGTGAAGTATTTTTATTATCCCTTAATTTTGTAAATGAGGAAATTGAGGCTTAGACTAGCGTGGAGGGGAGGGAATACCGGAAACCATCTCCAAGACGTCCAAATTCTGTACTCCTCTTTCCATTTCATCCCGTTCTTGACTCCTTCATTGCTACAGCTCCCCAACCCTCCAGCACCCCTGAAATCTCTCCCTTTGCAGATTCTAACTGTCCTCTTCCGGTCCCCAGCCCTCCTAACGACCCCCATACGTCAGGCTCACATCCCTCTCTGCCGCACTCTTTCTGCACGTACTTCTCTCTCAGCAGGTTTTTTCTCCTCCCAAGGCCCCCTCCCTATCCCCCTCACCCGAAACCCCATACTCACGCCACACGCAGCCGCAGAATCAGACAATCCAACCGAAAAACAAAAATTAAATCAGGGAGCGGCGCGGCGCCACTGAGCGTGCCCGAATCCGTCCAATCGCCCACAAGTTTACAAGGCCCTTCGGATTGCGCACCAATAGGAAGGCTATTCACACAGAAGCACGCCACATTCCCGCCCTCCCTTGCTCCGCGTCTTACCGCGCAGAGATCGCCGGGAAATGTAGTTCTATTTTTGCACACAGCTTTCTAGGCGGAGCCTATAACCCGGCTACAAGCCAGCTCATCCCAGTACTGGTAGTGCGATTTGGGGGATCAGAACGCACTGGTTCTGGGTACACCAAGTTTACACTTGCTCAACTACTTTGTTTTCATGAAAAATGATGCAGAACCGCGATGCACAATCATGGAATGGATCACAGGATTATTTGGTTGTAATTTACAAGCTTACCTCAACAAGGTGAAGATTCTAAGAAGATAGTTTCTCCTTCAGTAACCTGGTGGCGTAGAGCCAAGATAGGAGCTGCAGTTCAATTTCTACAGAGGATTATTTATATAAATGCTACTATTTTTGTCAGATAGTAGACACCACTTGCTTTTCCTAAGAGGTATGAGAAATTGGCTTTAATCTAACATAAGCTAGTTCAAAATCCAGTTGTGATCTTATCTTTCCAGAAACGCAAGAGGTAGGGGTAAAGGGAAAGGCACTTTAGTCTCAGAGCTGCAGCTACTGCTATGGAAAAGCTGGGACTCTTCCCTGGTAGACCTAAGGATGTCCAAAAGGAACTTGCTGTCTTCTCCTAAACTTGCTTTTTTCCCTCTTGTGATTTTCTCCGTTACGTCAAGATCTTCCAAGACACCTTGGCTCAGAATTTTTGTCTCTCTTTTGGCCCCTACATGTTTTTAAACCAACTCATGCAGATCTTATCTTCATACTGGTTCTCAAATATATATCTTCCTATTTATTTCCACTCTGAGTCTCATTACCTTTCACTTGGAATACTACAATAAGTTTCTAACTGGTATTTTTGCCTCAAAAGTTTTTCCTTCTCCAATTCAGTCTATAAAAAGGTGATTATTTTTTTAAAGCACAGTTCTGGACATGTCACACTCCTGCTCATAAACTTTTGGTGACTCCCCACAGAGTAGAGAATGAAGTCCAGGTAGTAATCCGGCATTCAAACACTGCCACTGTCTGACCCCACTTATCTCTATTATAATAAATAACTAGTTATTTTCTTAATGTAGCATGCACTTTCCACCTTTGGCTCACATTCTTCGTTTTATCTGGATTGACCCTTTTCATGAATCTTCACTGATAAAATTCCTCCAAGGGCAACACAAATACCATCTCCTTAATTGGAAGTAATTCCTTCTGCTTTGATATTCATTTAGTAAAATGTTATTATATTTTTATAGTATAACTTCTATTCAAATGTCATCAGTCTTGAGCCCTTCTCTGACTACCCTATCCCCTCCTTACCACTCTCCCACTCCCTCCCTTCTCTGCTTTTTAAAAGACCTTAGCACCACCTAAAATAGTATATATTTATTTGCTTGAGCTTATTATTTTGTCTTCTCTCCTCACTAAGCTCTGTGAGGACAGATATTTTGTCTTTTTGTTGTGGTGGTGGTTCATTGTCATATATCCAGCATCTAGAAGAGTGCCTGGCACATAGCAGATGCTCAGTAATTGTTAGTGAATGCATGAATGTATGTATAACATTCCTCCCTACATGTATGTTGCCTCTCCTGTTAGACTGCTCTTCTTCTTCCATTCTGTATTTGGGTTAATGCATCATCATTCACTCAAATGTCCAAAGGTTATTCTCAACCCATCCCTCTCTTGAAATCACCCAACATTAGGTTGATAATTTAAAAAAAATCACTCTAGTGGTAGAGGATCAATTAAGAACAATGCTTGAGGGGGCTGGCCCGGTGGCGCAGCAGTTAAGTTCGCACATTCTGCTTCTTGGTGGCCCGGGGTTTGCTGGTTCAGATCCCAGGTGTGGACATGGCACCACTTGGCATGCCATGCTGTGGTAGGCACCCCACATATAAAGTAGAGGAAGATGGGCACGATGTTAGCTCAGGGCCAGGCTTCCTCAGCAAAAAGAGGAGGATTGGCAGCAGATGTTAGCTCAGGGCTAATCTTCCTCAAAAAAAAGAAACTGTGCTGAACTTGCTGACTTGCCAAAAGGGAGATATTGCTAAGAAAGGATTTTCTGAAGGACTGTGCAAAAATATACTTTTGTGGTAACAAGAGTCCTTGAGTAAGCCAATGAACTGTAACATAAATCCACTCTCTATTCATAAATCTTAACAAACAACTGAGGTAATTGTTCTGGGCTCTCCTTTTTGCTAATAAAAACAACTGACTTTTACTCCTCAGGGGGATACTTTTCTGGCTGCTGCAGGAGCCTGTGTTCCCTGAATTGCAATTCTGAGACTCCAAATAAGCACTCTCTTTTGTTTTGCAGTTGCCTCTTTCTTCTAAGTTGACAGTCTCATCTTCCTGTACCTCACCTTTTCCTCCACAACCAAGAATCTGGAATCTATGCTTGGCTTCTTTACTTCACCTCTCATTCACTTTGCAATTCACTAGAAACTGGATTTCGACTCCATAACTTTATCGAAATTGCTCTATGACCTACTAACTGCTAAGTTTAATAATCACTTCTTGTTTTTTCTCACATGATCTCTTTCTGGCATTTTATACTGGCCAATTTTCACCTTTTGTCCAAGTTTTACTCACTTGCTGACTCTGAAAACACTCAAATCTCTCCATTCATTCTTTTTTTTTTTTTTAAAGATTGGCACCTGAGCTAACAACTGTTGCCAATCTTTTTTTTCCTTTTGCTTTTTCTCCCCAACTCGCCTCAGTACATAGTTGTGTATTCTAGTTGTAGGTCCCTATAGTTGTGGCATGTGGGACACCACCTCAGTGTGGCCTGATGAGCGGTGCCATGTCCGCGCCAAGGACCCGAACTAGCGAAACCCCGGGCCCCCGAAGCAGAGCTCGAAAACTGGGCCATGGAGCCAGCCCCTCTCCATTCATTCTTTTTTTCTTTTATAAAGATTTTATTTTTTTCCTTTTTCTCCCCAAAGCCCCCCGGTACATAGTTGTATATTCTTCGTTGTGGGTCCATGTAGTTGTGGCATGTGGGACGCTGCCTCAGCGTGGTTTGATGAGCAGTGCCATGTCCGCGCCCAGGATTCGAACCAATGAAACGCTGGGCCGCCTGCAGCGGAGCGCATAAACTTAACCACTCGGCCACGGGGCCAGCCCCCTCTCCATTCATTCTTAACATCATGTACTGATTTTTCTTTTTCTAGTGAAAGAACTATTACCTTCCCGGAAAGATTAACTTTTGATTAGCTCAGTACAAGTAACTGAAGAGTTAACTCTGGCTTCTTTTACTTGTGCTGGAGAAATCACAGGCTTCACAGCAATAATATATCTCAAAGTAAGAATCAACATAATTGAAGGTAGCAAATAATAAAGAAGGAGTTTGGAGTTGTTGAGTTTGGAGATGAAAAGTGACAAGATGAACTCTGGATTTTAGACAAAGCAATCTGACAACTGAGTGGAGAGGGATTTGACAGGGAGCAAGAAACGTGCTGTTATCACAGCTCAGGTGAGAGAGAACTTAAATTAGGATAGTGATAATGAGGATGGAGAGACAAGGGTGGATTGAAGATTTTTAGGTGATAGAATTTCCAGACTTGACACACGATTATGCATGAGTAGTAAGGCAGCAGGAGTTAAGGATTATTTCTAGACTTCTGGCTTTGGCGACTGAGTAGATACATGAAGTCATTCATGGAAACTGGAAACACTGAAACAAGAGTGGGGAACTAGTGAAAGAACTATTACTTTCCTGGAAAAATTAACGTTTAATTAATTAATTGAGGTACTTTGAGTTTACCAAGGGGAGTTGTCCAGTGGGTAGCTAGATGTACTGCAACTGTAACTCGAGAGAAATCTAGGCTGAAAATACAAATTTGGGAGGCATCAGCCATAGGTTGGCAATTTAGGTCCTGAGGGTAGCTGAGATTGCACAGGGTGTGAGAACAAGCCTTGGGAAGTAAGTCTTCCTTCCAATAAATATTTAAACTAAGAACTACCCTTTCATGGTTTCTTCTTTAGTCCTTTCTATGTTATTCTCCATGATTTGGAGGAAGCGGAGATGGACACCGGCATAGAGCTTTTCAGTGAGCACGGTCTGAACAGTCGCCATAGATTTTACAGCAAATTGAGAAAGTCTTACGGAACGTGGTGCCAGAGGAAAGGCGTTGCTGTTGAGACGACGTGGGGGTTGTCACTTGTTGGAAAAGCAAGGTCAAGAGCCCTTGCTTCTAAATTGCTTCGAAAAACAATTTCTGGATGGTGGCTAAGGCCTGCCAGCAGGATTTGGGACATGGGTTCCACCCGAATTTGTCGTCATGGAGATGGAGCGGCTTTAAAGTGGCCGAGTCAGATTATTCAAGACACTAACAATCAAAAGACTGAAAAGAGAGATGCTGAAAACCTTAGTTACTTGAAATAAGACAGACATGTAAGTTAAAACAAGCCGTAAGACACCCAGCACCGAGGTGGGCCGGCTGAGATTACGCCCGGCTCCTTCTCGCGTCCATTTATACACAAAAGGAAACCGGGCTCTCCTCGCCGGAAGGAGAACCTCTGCCCTCTGGAGCATTACACATTCCTCCGCGCCGGAAGAGTTCGTCTTGCTTCCTCGCCGCCTGCTTCCCCCACCCTTACCTCTCCTGGAGGGGAGATCGCGGGGCCTTTAGGGTGTGCCGCTTTAAGTCGTCCGACAGCGCGGAACTTTCGCGGACAAGGAGACCAGGAACGAAGCTGGGCTGCCTGGAAAGGGAGGAAGAGGAAAGGTCGTATAACAAGGCGTCGCGTTGCTGCGGAGGGATTCTGTTTCTTGGGGGTGCGGAGGGATTTGACAGTACGTTAACTTCCGGAAAAGTCCTGGCCCTGAGAGGAAAAGCCCCGAAGGAAACAATAACAAACGAGAGGAGGAAGCGATTCTGGGGTTCCCGTCTTGAGCACTTCTTGTTCGAGAAGATGAGCTTCGGTCCCTGTCAGGGGACGTGAAAGGGGTCGGTGGGCTTGAGCCAGCGTTTCTCCAACTGTCCCCTCACGGGGGTCCCCTGGGTGTTGCCATGGCGGGCGTGGGTTCGGGGGGCTATGCGGCGGAGTTCGTGCCCCCTCCGGAGTGCCCAGTCTTTGAACCCAGCTGGGAGGAGTTCACAGACCCGCTCAGCTTCATCGGCCGCATCCGGCCTCTGGCAGAGAAGACCGGCATCTGCAAAATCCGACCGCCCAAGGTACCGAATCTCAGGAGAGAGGGGGAGACGAGAGTGGGGAGGTGGATACGCTTGGTTTAGCTTTATTTTTCCCGTCCTTGTTTTCATATTTACTCTCCCTCATTTCTCAACAACTAGAAGCTAAGTTTCTGGATGTTTTTGCCTTGGTTTCTTTTGCGGTCTTATGTAGGCTGGAAAGCGGAGTCCCCGGGGCCTTTCCGCCTAGAACTTGGGAACTGATACTGTGAGTTGTGGGCAAGCGTAACAAAAAGCTTTAGGTCAGTAAGGTGTTTGAAGTATTATGATACGATGTGACATGTCGTACACTCGTGTACAATGCTTATTAAGGTGCGATAGTAAAAACTGCCCTTCCGTCGGCTATTTGTTTAATCCAAGTCCTATCGATGCTTAATTTATTAAATATTTGCAGGCCTCATCTTAGGCCTGAGGTTTCTTAAACGGTAATTTGAGCACTAGTTGTCCCCCACGATGGTATCACTAAACAAGAACCCCACACTGATTACTGCTGCAATGAAAAGGTCTTCCAAGGGGAAGAGAAGGAACAGCATTTATTTTTAAAATTTAGAGGTTTAGGAATAGTTTGTCAATAATGAAAGTGGCAGAAAACTTTGGAATCTTTTGATATAAGGAACCACGGATCAAAGATTTACGAATCGCAGTTATTGCAAATAACTAGGTTTGCCTATAGGTTGATTATAATTCTCAATCTTACTGCCCCTTGTTTGAGGAAATTAGTGCCCCAAGAGGGTGAGTGATTTGTTCAAGGTCGAAAGATTTTTTTCTTTACCCATTAGATGTTTCTGGTCTACCTGCACCAGGATCAGCCCGATGCTTGTTGGAATGCAGATTCCTAGGCCTCATTCCCAGACTACAATCAATTTCTGGATGTGGAAGTTCTAGAATCTGCTTTTCTAGCAAGTACTCTTAGATGATTCCTAATGCACATTAGAGTTTGTGATCCACTGCCTTAGTGCTTCTTAAAGAGACACCTTGCTTTATGTTTTGTCTGCCAGTAATAAAAGTATTAAGTACTCTTTTACCCATGTTGCGTTTTAAAAAGCATCTGCTCACAGCACAGACTACCACAGTGGTGTGAGCCACGGTGAATAAAAAGAGCTTAGATGGGAGCAAGAAGGAGGAGCTAGTTTAGCATCTACGGATTATTTCATTTAATATTCTTTTAAGCCCTTGTAGGTAAATAAAATATCATTTTACGGATAAGGCAAGTCTGAATGAGTTAAATAACTTGTCAAATGTATGATGTTCGGCCAAGTGGCAAAGTAGATGTTGAATCTAAATTAATCTGTTTCATTCTAAAACCCAGGCATGCTCCTCCCATTATGCTTAGTGAATTTAAGATTAGAGACTGTCAATTGCAAGCAAAGGATTAACAGATAATTGCTATGATGAATGATGATATATGCATTGTCACCCTCCAAAACCTTTACTTAACTCTTTTTCAATCAAAATTACATAATATTGATAAAATCTTAAGCACTAAAGTTTTCTCTAAACCATAGTTTCATCTACTCTATTGCCTTTATGAATTAGAAATTCTAGTAAAGGTTCCTTTTGGTGAAAAAAATAGTAACTTTTTTTATTACTTAAAAAAAGGTTGAAATAATATGCCTTCACTTTGTATGTCCTGTTATTATTGAAAATGCATCTTGTTTGCAAGCAGAATTTAATTTCAGTATTGGTGGATTTCTTTAGTTTCCAAGGTAAGATTTTTTTTACTACTCACATTTTTAAATAGATTTAGTAGTATTTAGGCCAAATCAAACTATATCTCTGAACCCTACTTGAAATGTGTTATCCCATTTAAGTTATACCACATCTCCAATCTGGAAATTGTCCTTGTTCTGTAGGTTTACTTACTTTTTTTAAAAAAAATATTTGGGTGACCAGAAGCTGGGCTTTGAACAAAATGTTTATATAACATAGACTGTAAAGTGCTGTGTCACATTACACATGAATGAAAAAACATATTCAATTATGTAAGTACTTTTACAAAATTATTTCAATTTTTCCTCTTTTGTTTCTTTCAAATTCCGGTTTTTTTAATTTGGTAATTTGGTAAACTTGGATGTTTGTTAGACACTGTATTGAGATACATGAGCTCATTGCATTCCACTTGAGTAGGTGGGGAAAGCATAATTGTGGGATGTACGTACTGGGACTAGTGAGAGTTGGGGAGGATTTATAGATAAGATAATTTTTGTATTACTTAGAATATTAGAGATAAGTAATTGGAGATAAGTAATATTAAGATTATTTCATCTAAAATGTATTACTCTGTCTCTGCAATAAAGAGGACTTATAAACTGATCTGTTGTCACATGATTTGTGGCAACTCACATTTTATATTAAAGCAATGAATAATGCATTCCTTGTTTATATACCAATATGTTTTTTTAAAAAATTCTATTTAGGATTGGCAACCTCCATTTGCGTGTGAAGTAAAAAGCTTTCGTTTCACCCCCAGAGTCCAGCGCCTGAATGAACTTGAGGTGAGTGTTGTATCACCATTTCTGCTTCCTGATTCATTCTTTTTTTTTTTTTTTAAGATTTTATTTTTCCTTTCTCTCCCCAAAGACCCCCTGGTACATAGTTGTGTATTTTAGTTGTGGGTCCTTCTGGTTGTGGCATGTGGTACGCCGCCTCAGCGTGGCTTGCTGAGCCGTGCCATGTCGCGCCCAGGAACTGAACCGGCGAAACTCGGGGCCACCCAAAGCAGAGCGCACGAACTTAACCACTCGGCCATGGGGCCGGCCCCCTCTTCAGCACTTATTATTCTACTAAAATTGTTTATTAATGTTGGAAGATTCTGTCTCCTGTGGTCTTTGGAAAATAGTTTTTAAAATACTATCAAAGAACCTAGTTTTCAAAGTTGTTTTTTAGTTTTAAGAGAACTTTTCTAGGACTGTTAATCGGGTTTATTAAAATCTCCTATTAAATATTACTGATCTCTCTCTGAAGTTTTCTTAATTGAAGTCTGTTTAAATATTGTTCTTCCTGTCTGCCAGATTTTCATAAGATTCTTTAGTGCAATTGAAAACTGTTTCAGAGTACAAAAGAGGAGTCTTAGATAGGTAAGGCTTAATATGTCATGCTGAGGTTTTCTTTCCTTCATGCTCCTAAGACATTTATTTTCTGAGATTTTGTTAAATATTTTTTTCTTTTAGTGTCTTGTCATTAGATGCTTGATGAAGGATGTTAATATCAGTGAGGTAGAGAGCTGGTGTACCTGGAGTATGCATATTACCTACAGATGAAATGACAGACTTAGGATACTTACAAACAGAATAATCTGATTTACTAAATTTTCTGGATAGCCTAAAATTAAGCCAACTTTTACAAAAAAAATGGCTTTGGTTGATAATATGAGAACTTTTCACATATTTTAGAGTAACTTTTTTGCCTTAATGAATAAAGTTTATTAGAAGTATTTTACCTCTTTATTATTGACTTATTTTATGGGGTTGGACTAAGCAATAATGAAAAAGTCTTTAAATTTTTTTTAGAGAAATTAGTACCTTTGTTAAGAAAACCTCATTTATTTTCAGCTATAACTTAGTTCCTGTTTCTTATTTCTATATTTTAATAATCTTAGGCAATGACCAGAGTGAGACTAGACTTCTTGGATCAACTAGCAAAATTTTGGGAACTTCAAGGATCTACTTTGAAGATCCCTGTGGTGGAGAGAAAAATCCTGGATCTGTATGCTTTGAGCAAGGTGAGGCTTAGTTGGTTTAGAAATTGGAGTAGAGGCTGGTGAATTGGTGAAAGTAGGAATTTCAGATAAACTTGATGGAAGACATTGCTTCCTCTGTAGGATTTGTTTGACAATGAAATGCAAACGTGAATAAATGGAAATGACAGATCTCAAAGGTGTCTTTAAAATCTATTTTATAATTTGTTGTGAGATTAACATTTAGTGACTCGCTCAGGTTAGTAGGCTCTGTGATACACAATATACAAAATAAATGACACCAGTCTACACCAATCTGCTTTGGGATACACCATATGCAAAAGAAATGACACATTTTATCTTGTGTTGAGGGTATAATATCCTTTGTTAAGCTTGTCGTCTTTTTTTCTACTACTTGACTGAAAATTTGATATATTAAAGAGATTCGTGTTACTCAACATTCTCGTGTGTGGTACCTATCAGTTGTATTGGTATCTGTAAGTATTGTTAATGGTTAACTGAGGTTAGCATTATACAGTACGATGAATAATAGCTTGAAAACTTAAAGGTGAAGAGTTTAGACTAATTTTTGCCTAAACTTAACGTTTGTAATGTTACATTCTGTAATGTGAAAAAAGCCAGTTGATTTGCAACAGGGTTTATAATAATTACCTTGAAAACAGGTTTTGTTAATACAATAATCTCTGCTTGCTCTGAGTTAGGAGTGAAGACAGCTTGATTATCTGAGGAATTTTGTAGAACAACTTATTTTTGTGGCTGTTCATATCCTATGATTGATGCACTGTTTTGAAATAGAAATTTGTTCTCATGTAAGTCGCAGAGTTAATTATGGAAGATTTCACTTTCAAGGGAAAAAGAGTAATCATTTAAATTATTTCTTATACACTTGAAAATTAATGTCAGATCAGAATTCTCTAAAATTTTTATTCTATACTAAAAATTTCAGGAAGTGTAGTCTTATGGTAAAATACAGCTCTAGGCTTGTTTATCAGTCGGGTAATGATGTCGGTAATTGAGCACCGTTCTGAGAATTATCTAGTGCAGTTGTATGAAAACCTGTGAGACCAAAGGGCAAATTACTGTGTATTTGAGGGGTGGGTTTGTGTTCTGTAGGGAACCATTAGGATAAAAAGTTTGTTTTAAGAATACTGTTTTTTGACATTTTTATTTGGTGAAAATCTGTCCACTAACTTTTACTATGTGGTGCTGTTTAAGGTTCTGAATATGTTTGGTTTGAGATATGTAGCTTAAATAAAATATAAAGTTCTTTTCAAAAATTATTTAATCATTAATAACAGTAGTTGTGGTAATCTTCAGCCAAAACTCATTCCACGTACCTCAGTTTTATTTTTATAAATATGCCCTAGGGAATTTGCTAAAGTACATATTTTATATAAGCAAATCATCTATTAAATTGAAATTGTTCTTGTACCAATAATTTTCCAGTTAAAAGGTAAACATTAGGTTTAATCCAGTGGTAAATTAGATTGCATTCTTGGTTTTACAGAGTTGTAGGATTTCAAAATTAGGAAGGGGCTTTAGAGGAACCTAATCTGATTACCTAGTTCACAAGTCTGTGTAACATTTGTCATCTGGACTGTAACTCCATTTTGAGAAACCGAAATCCTTTTTGTGCAAAGAGAGAATCTACTAGTAAAGTATGTCTTGTTTAGCTACTTAGAGAATGTTTGCAAATATGTTGTGATTAAAGTTTAAGTTCGATTGTCCTGAGGTTATTAGAGTCTTTAAGTCCCCGTGGTCATCCCTTTCCCCTAACCTTTTGAGAATGCTTATAAAACAGATTTAAAGCTAAAAGGCAGGCATGTTTTGATTTGTAGTTATTTTGTTTATACTTCTGGTTTTATTTATTTATTTATTTATTTTGAGGAAGATTAACCCTGAGCTAACTACTGCCAATCCTCCTCTTTTTGCTGAGGAAGACTGGCCCTGAGCTAACATCCATGCGCATCTTCCTCTGCTTTATACGTGGGACGCCTACCACAGCATGCCTTTTGCCAAGCAGTGCCATGTCCGCACCTGGGATCCGAACTGGTGAGCCCCAGGCCGCTGAGAAGCAGAGCGTGCGCATGTAACTGCTGCGCCACCAGGCCGGCCCCCTATACTTCTATTTTTTAAATGTCATAGTGAGATTGCTGCTTTTTACCACACAATCTTTTTTTATTTACCTTGAGGTGTAACTTAGAGTGCAATGCTCAAATCTTAAATGTAACAGTTGGATAAATCTTTTCTGTGTGCACTCATGTAACCACCACCCAGATCAAGGTATAGAATATTTACAGTCCTCCAGCGGGCTCCTTCATCTCTCTCCCAGTCGCTACTTCTCCCCAAAGGTAACTTCTGTTCTGATCTCTTATAATTAGATGAGTATTTTGTTAGTGTGACATTTTACTTTCTAGCAAGAGGCTCAGGCTGAAAACTGCAGAAAATACTGAGAATTCTAATATTTTTAGGTTGTTAGCTATGCCCTTTAAAAAAAAAAAGATTATTTTTGACTGACAGCTGATGAGTATCTCTTGAGTTTTTCTTATAGACATGATTTTGAAACACTTTGGTTCCCACCACTTTTTAATGGGTAGCAAAATTTCAGTCTTCTGAGTCATTAAATTGTCACTGTGATGGTTTCCTGTTTTAATTAAATCACTTTGTCTTTCTTCCTGGTAGTTATTTTTGATACTAAGAAGTGTCAGTTGGAATGTCTATAGTTGAATGGAGTTTTACATGAACAATTACTGTTTATAATCAGTACAGCAAGGAGCGTTCATTCCAACCCTTTTTAAAAAGAAATTTTTTTGTCAAAGTAATACTGTTTTTTAAAGTAAGGCTTAAAATGAAAACCAGCATTCTCCCTTCTCCACCTTTCCTCTCCTGTTCCCACTCTTAGAGCTAATCACCTTGAATTCTTTTAGCTGTTTCTGATTTTTATCTCCATATTTCCAAATAATATGCTCATTATTGCCATTTCTTCATATTTCAGTTTTAAATGTTCTATGCTGATTTTCTACTTTTAGAGATGGGGAATGGGTATAAGAAATCTAAATCCTTATGTATTTCAGGCCCCCCATCTCATTCTAGTGTAGTTAGATCATTTTTTAATTAGTCAAAAATTATTACTGTGACTGTGTAAATACAAATATTATTTGTACCTGAGCCTTGTAGTGTGCTATGATTCTATTTCCTTGTACCAATTTTTATTTTCCTTGGAGTTAATAATCCCCTCTGTTTTTTCAGTTGGTAAGTTTTCTTTGTAACTATCAAAAATTTATTTTCAGATTTTCCAGCAGAAGTATAATCTCCCAGTTATGCTTTTACCCATCAGATATCTGTCAGTTTCCTTTTCTTCTTGGAGCCATTCTTCTGGAGTTGTCTTTCCTGCTCCTAAGCAGATTGGTTGTTTTTTAAGGTCAGCTGTCAGCCTGGAACTTCCTTTCACTATTATCATTCTGGGAATTCCCTTTGCCTCTCTCTTTGTTTCAAGTCTGTCTATTCCTTGATTTACTCCTAGTTTGGTGAAACATTTCTTCTCCTACTTTCATGAGCAAGAGGGTAAATGTGATATATGTTTTTTGCTTGTATAAAAATGTTCTACTCTTAAAGTTTATTGGTAGTTTGGTGGGGTTTAGAATTGTAAATTTACAATTGTCAATTATAAATTGAAATTGTAAATCATTTTACTTCAATATTTTGAAAGTTTTACTCCATAATCTTCTAGCTTCCAGTGTTGCTCTTGATGCTATGTTAGTTCTTGTTTCTTTATATATAACTTTTTTTTCTTGAAGACAGAATCTAATCTTTATTTCCAGTGCTTTGAGATTTCACAGGGATATGCATTGGTATGTGTTTATTTTCATTCAGTATTTTTACTGCACTTGATAATCTTTCTAATCTGAACTCATATCTCCGAGTTCTTGTAACTTTCCTTGTACAGGCATACCTCGTTTTATTGTGCTTCACCTTATTGTGCTTCGCAGATACTGTGTTTTTTCACAAGATGTTCCACCAGCAAAAAGCTTACAACTCACTTAAGGCTCAATGATGGTTACCATTTTTTAGCAATAAAGTTTTTTTAAATTAAGGTATGTACATTGTTTTTTAGATATAATGCTGTTGCACACTTGACTACAGTGTAGTGTAAGCATAACTCTTCTATGCCCTGGGAAACCAAAAAATTCTTGTGACTTGCTTTATTGCGATATTAACTTTAATGGCAGTGGTCTGGAACTGAACCCGCAATATCTCTGAGGTATGCCTTTGTTAATTCTTTGACAATTTCTTCCACTTATCTTTTCTCTCTTTTTGAACTCTTAGTAGTTGGATGTTAGACTAATAAGCCAGATGTGAGACTGTTAGGCTGATTAGACTGTTAGAGTGATCCTCTAGTTTACTTACCTATTTCTTTCTTACGTTAGAGTCTCTTCTTTTCAAACTCTCCTTAGACTGAATTTGCAGCCTCCTGGGGTTGGAGGGATAGTTGCCTGGCTATGCTGACTGAAGGAGGTCTAATTGCTTTTATACAGGTTTTCAGCCAATCCTGTTCTCTCTTTGTTGCCATCTCTAGTTTTAAAGGTACTGGTGCTTCCATTTCTTAAGCCTTTCCAGGGTCTATGTTGCAAAAGTTTCTTCTTGGCTTTCTTCTATTGCAGGTGCTTGTTTGTTTTTTGCTTACTGAATTATCACTCAGACGTCTGCTATGTCTTGGTCTATTTGTCCTCTGGGGAGTATGCCTTTTTGTTCCTTTACTGTCCTCTTAGTGGAGTTTGGAGAGTGACCTTTTAAGTAGAAGACTGCGACTACTTTATGTCTGTTAAAATTGTCTCTTGCTGGCCAGACTTAGTTTTTCAGTGGTTTGAAATTTTGGCCTTGATTGACATTACTCTTTGGTCGCACTTTGGTTAAGTGCTTGTCTTCATTGTGTTCAATTTAAGTACATGCCAGGTATCTTTTTGTAGGGGATGGTTCATAAGTGATATTTTCCTGGTGGCAGTGCTGTGATATATTGCATGGCACATGTTTGGAATAAATGGTTTATGTTTTGAAATTATCCATGATAATCCTTGAATCTGTCAGCTGAAGAAAAACAAGTGTAAGATTTGTGTGTATTTATAGTATTAGGCCCAGTTAGATTGTTGAGTATTGTATACATGGACCCAAAATCATGGTTTTGATTTCTTTGTGAGATAGTTTTGTTTTATTTCTTGGCCATACCCTTACTGTGCTGGCTGTCATTTTCACAGCTGTGTGCCAGTGGTCGTCAGAACTGGATAGGAAGGTGTGACTGAAACCATGCAGATATGTAATGGCTAATGGAAGTTTAGCGTAAAGTGCTTTGAATACAAAGCAGATTATTATGTAATAGTGATAATTGTATTGGATGGTAAAGATTACTGAGAGGGCTTCTGTTTCCTTTCTGACCTCCTTTACTATTCATTCCCAATTGCTTCAGCCACGTTGACTTCCTTATTTTTCTTCAAACACTCTAGGCATGCTTCTACTTGGGGCCTTTGTTCTGCCTATTCCTCATATATCTGCTTGGGTAACTGCTTCACCTTATTTATGTGTACTCAGATTTCACCTTTTTATAAGGAGGGTTTTTGTGACTGTTTTAATACTTCAGTTTACCCTCATTCTGCTACTTGTGAGGCCTATTAACTACCCTTTTAATTTCTTTCACAGGATTTATCACTTCAAAATTTACGTATTATGTTTGTTGCCTGTCTTCTCCCACTAGAATGTGGGCTCCATGAGGGCAAGGATCTTTGTTTTATTCACAGATGTAACTCAAGCACCTAGAACTGTAGCCGACGGTATAGAAGCACTGGAAAGATTGGAATGAAAGGTGTTCTAATTCATCATTTGCTTCCAGACAGCCCTCTATCTAAACCACTCTCATTGTGTCCTCTTCTATACTACAAAATTTGAAAAACAAATTTTTTCTTTTTATAATTTTCCCCTGGTTAGTTCTTATTAACAGAAGGAGGTTCTCTGAGGGTGTGATAAGAGAAACTGAAGAATTATAGATGTGTGCAACCCTTGTTCACATGAGCTTATGTGTTTCTACCAAGTTTTCAGATATTTTCTAGAGGAAAATTTTGCTTTGATTGTAGGTTCATCTTTGTCTGTAATAGCATCCTAGAGCACAAGAGTTGAAAACATTTCCTTCACTTATTTATAGCATATACACCCCTCCCCCACTGTGCCGCCCACTTGCCCACACACAGACATTTATAGTACAGCTAACACTGATATTGTGCTTACTTTGTCCTGGTGCTTTTCCACATTTATTTCATTTGTCTTCACAACAGCCTTATAATGAGGTATAGGTACTGTTACCATTGCTGTTTTGATAATAATGAGGAATCTGAGATGCAAATTATTTAACATAATTACTTTAGGTCATACAACTCTTAAGTAGCAGAGCTGGAATTTGAGCTCTGGTACTCTGGCTCCAGAATCCATGCTCTTAGCCTTTTTAAAGAAAATTGTGGTAAATTATACATAACGTAAAATTTACCATTTTTAAGTGTACATTTAATGGCATTAAGTACATTCAGCATGTTGTACAACCATCACTGCTATCCGTTTCTAGAACTTCCACTCTGACTTTTGCTCCTGGTAACACCTCTGTTGTATTTTCTTTCTTTATGAATTTGCTTATTCTAGGTATCTCATATGAGTGGAATTATACAGTATTCATCCTTTTGTGTTTGGTTTATTTTCACTTAGCATAATGTTTTCAAGGTTAATCCATGTTGTCGCTTGTATCAGTATTTCATTCCTTTTTAAGGCTGAATAATATTCCATTGTGTGTATATACCACATTTTGTTTATCCATTGATCTCTTGTTGGACATTTGGGTGTTTTTCACCTTTTGGCTATTGTGAGTAACGCTGCAGTGAACATTGGTATGCAGGTATCCCTGTTCAGTTCTTTTGGTTATATACCTAGGGGTAGAGTTGCTGGATCACATGGTAATGTTTAATTTTTCTGTTTAATTTTCTCTTAACTTTTTTGATATAGTAAAATAGAGTAGTGTATAATCAAAGCGGAAAATTTTCTTGTGTTCAAATAACTGTCATAGTCCTCTTTATTTTGTCATTGGTGAAACTTGAAAACTGCGTATATTGTAAAGTGTGAGAGATGTACAGTATTAGCTTCTGGAAGGTAGGGGGCCTTGATGCATGAATAGTCTCTACAATGCCTAGTTTCTTGTGGGTGTTCAGCCAGATTAGCTAATTTATCTCATTGCTTCCTAAGCTTACTAAAGTCTGTGCTGCATTCTAGTAAATCTACTGTAATCTGATCTTTCCCCATCATTCCTTCATAATATTCCATATAAAACTTTTCTCCTTTTGAAAAATTATAGCCGTTTTCAAAATATCCTATGAATTCATTGCTTGCTTGACATTTTTGTTAAATTCTATAGGTTATTTGTTACGTTTTCTAATTTCAAGATGTATGTTTATTCTGTACTATATGTAACTTATGCTTATTCTTATGTCTATTTTTTATCTGTTTTTAACTCTTAGTTTATATTTTGAGTTCCTTGTGGCTATAGAGTATGTATATGTGTTTAGTTTTCTCCAGGAGCATACTGTTGAAAGTATAAATTCGTTAATTTTTTTGAATGCTTGGTTCATTGAAGGTAGGCACAAAAGCATTAATTAAATAATAAAGTTGAAAACTTCCAAAAATCGTCGTCTCTATTCCATACTTTAAATGTTGACAAGTTTCAGTTTTGTCAGATACTTGTTGAAAGGAAATTTGAAATCTAGGCCCAGAATAGTTTTTGTATTTAGCAGACAAGATGTAGAATTAGAATACATGAATCTACCTTCTGTCCCTAAATAATTTTTACGTTTTTTTTTTTCAGATTGTTGCCAGCAAAGGAGGTTTTGAAATGGTCACCAAAGAGAAGAAATGGTCTAAAGTGGGTAGCCGCCTGGGATATCTGCCAGGAAAAGGAACTGGGTCTCTTCTGAAGTCACACTATGAAAGAATTCTCTACCCATATGAGCTTTTCCAGTCTGGTGTCAGCCTTATGGTGAGCTGCATCATTTTTCTTAGGAGTAGATAAATCCAGTCTGCCAAGTATAAACTTTAGGCTATATTCAACATAACAAGTTAGTAGTTGGCTATGCATAGCAAGTTGAAAAAGATTTCTCTAGGTGCCAAAAGTTGGGAGAGCAAGGTGTAGTTTAAAAATCACAGCTGTTTTGGTGGTTTGTAAGATAAAAGCTAATGAGAATGAAGGATGTTTCCTTATTTATTTGAAATGAATCCTTGTGACTTAAGCTTTTTTCTTTTTTAAAGATTTTATTTATTTGCTTTTTCTCCCCAAAGTCCCCCGGTACATAGTTTCATATTTTTAGCTGTGGGTCCTTCTAGTTGTGGCGTGTGGGATGCCGCCTCAGCATGGCTTGATGAGCAATGCGATGCCCGTGCCCAGGATCCAAACCAGTGGAAATCCTGGGTCACCGAAGTGGAGCACGCGAACTTAACTACTCGGCCATGGGGCTGGCCCCGACTTAAGCTTTTTGAAAAATTCCTCCTCTTTGTTTCATGTATTTTTTTAACAGCTTTATTGAGGTATAATTCACATACCGTATAATTCACCCATTGTAGGTACATAATCAATAAACCTTAATAAATTGTGCACTTATGCAACAATCACCATAGTCCAGTTTTAGAACACTTCCGTCAGCCCAAAAAGTTCCTTTGTGTTCATTTGTAGTTGGTTCCTGCTCCTATCCCCAAACCCAGACAACTCATGATCTGCTTTCTGGCATTATAGTTTTGCCTTTTCTAGAACTTTCGCATAGACAGACATATACAATATGATTTTATATCTGGCTTCTTTCACTTAGCATAATGTTTTCAATGTTCATCCATGTTTTAGCATGTATTAGTACTTCATTCCTTTTTTTATGGCTGAATATTCCATTATGTGGATATACCACATTTGTTTATCTGTTTAACCAGTTGATGGACGGTTGGACCAGTTTATGGCTATTATGAATAATGCTATGAATATTCATTTAAAAGTCTTTGTGTGGACATATGTTTTCAGTTCTCTTGGGTAGATACCTAGGAGTGGAATTGCTGGGTTATATGGTAAGTTTATGTTTAACTTTTTAAGAAACTGCCAAGCTGTTTTCCAAAGTGGCTGAATCATTTTACATCCCCACCAGTAATATAGAGGCTTCCAGTTTCTGCACGTCTTTACCAACCCTTGGTGTTACCAGTTCTTTCGCTTATAGCTATTCTAGTGGTATGTAGTGGGATCTCATTGTAGTTTTAATTTTCATTTCTCTAATGACTGATGGTGTTGTGTATCTTTTCATGTGCATATTAGTCATGTGTCTATCTTCCTTGATGAAGTGTCCGTTCAGATCTTTTTTTATTGGGTTGTCATCTTATACTTGTTTTAAGAGTTTGCCATATATTCTGGATAGAAGTCCCTTATCAGATACATGATTTTATGGATATTTTCTCCTAGTCTGTGCTTTATCTTTTTATTTTTATAATGGTATCTGTTTGAAGAGTAATTTCTCAATTTTTCCCACCTTTTGTGGATTGTGCTGCTGTCGTCATATCTAAGAAATCATTCCCTAACCTAAGGCCCACAAAGATTTTCTTTGTTTTCATCAAGAAGTTTTATAGTTTTAGCTTTTATTTTTAGGTCTGTGATTCATTTTGAGTTATTTTTTGTGTATAGTATGAGTAGTGTGAGGTAAAGGTATAAGTTCATTTTTTTGGGGAGGGGAAGGGTATATGAATATCCAGTTATTCCACCACCATTTGTTTAAAAGACTACCCTTTTCACCTTGTTTTACCTTGGCATCTTTACTGAAAGTTAGCTGACTGTAAATCTGTGGGTTTGTTTCTGGTCTCTCTTGTTCTTGATCTGTGTATTTACCCTGGCATCAGTACTGTGCTGCCTTGAGTGCTGCGGCTTCATAGTAAGGTTCGATACAGTAAGTTTGGATCTAAGTCCTCCAGTGGTGGTCTTTTTTTTCCTTCAAAATTTCCAAACAATTTGCATTTCCACATAAAGTTTAGGATCAGCTTCTCAGTTTCTATAGCAAAACCTTGCCAGGATTTTGATAGGGATTGTCTTGAATCTATGCGTCAGTTTGGTGGAGAGTTGTCAACTGGTTTCATGTAGTTTTAGGGATTTATTGGAAATTTGTTATTTTCCCCTTGATTCTCAAATCTGATTTCTTATCAGTGAATCTGCTCTCTCTCTGTGCTCTGATTCTTTAGGGTGTACAAATGCCTAATTTAGATCTTAAAGAAAAAGTGGAGCCTGAGGTTCTTGGCACTGACGTCCAAACTTCCCCAGAGGCGGGCACAAGAATGAACATTTTGCCAAAGAGAACAAGACGTGTCAAGTCTCAGGTATCAATTTCCACGGGCCATTTTTCACCAGGAGTTTGAAGTGCACTGACTGTGCAGAACAGTTATCTGGTTATGGAAGGTCGTTCACATACTGTTGTTTAAAACTTGAAGAGACATAGCTTTCATTTACCTTTAAGATGGATGGGCAAGAAATTACTAAATTCAGTCTGATTTGATTTAGAAAGCTCTTTGTTAACTCTGAAAAGTTTTTGACAAGGATGACAAATCAGAGGATGACTCTGGATACTGTAGGGCCAGTTTCATAGACATGCTGATAAATGCTGGTACATTTTATTTTCACGGTTAGCAGAAGTGAGAGGAGTAGGAAAGAGTAGTTTTATTTTTCTCTCATCATTCCTTTAAAAACCAGAGTATAAATTTCTTAGTGTCTGAACCATTCCAGTGTCACTTCTGTAGTGTTCGTGTAACCTAAAATAATTTCAAAGCCTAGTGAATGCACCAAAAGAAAAATGCCCTAATTTTTTTTTGTCTGCCTGCCACCCCCTTTTCCTATTCCTATTTCTTTGTGGTTCTCAAAGTTGTATTTTTTAAGGTTTTTGGTAAAGACAAGTCTGTAGCCTGGGACATTGAGGTATCTTTAGAACTCTGAGATGTGGTCCATTTAAATTAACATATGGGTGAACTGAAATAGCAACTTAACTGGATCCTAATCATTGACTTTAACTTATCTGAAGAAACAACGTGTTATAAGAATGGAAATAGTTCACATTGAAAGTAGAAATCGAAGGAAGGTAGTCCACGACTAACAAGAGACACTGGATCTGGGGTTGTGAGGAGTCCTGTCAGTGGAGAGGCAGGCTAGTGGTACTTCATCTGGCTTTTCTAGAGGTCAGGGGATATCTCTCTCTCAGCCATGTCTGCTTTCCTTGTTCTGAGTTTATGCCCACTAAATAATCTCCTGATTAGTAATGTAGTTTCTTAGATATTTTGATAGCAGAAAGGTAGGTGTTTTGGATAGGGAATGTGAATTTCATGGAAATTCATTGGAAAGTGATAGCTCCATCATAAGTTAGTAAACTCTGGTTTCGTCATTAAGTGATTTTTATTACTGTGGCTGATCTCAGAAGTTCTGATCATCTTTGGGTATATAGTGATGATTCTGTTTCAAGACCTGAAACACTTGAAGACTAGTCTCTTTTTTTTTTTTGTGAGTAAGATTAGCCCTGAACTAACTGCTGCCAATCCTCCTCTTTTTGCTGAGGAAGACTGGCCCTGAGCTAACATCCATGCCCATCTTTCTCTACTTTATATGTGTGACGCCTGCCACAGCACGGCTTGCTGAACACTGCCGTGTCCGCACCTGGGATCCAATGTGGCGAACCCGGGACTGCCGAAGCAGAATGCGCGCACTTAACCGCTGCGCCACCGGGCCGGCCTCTACCACCTTTTCTAAATCTGTTTTTGCTTTAATATGTTCTATCTTGGTGATAGTGACAAGCATAGCCTTCTAACAGTCTCTCAAACAAAAAATAGAAGTTATGAAAATTATCCTCCTCCCCTGTCCTATCACGTCACTTGCTGTACTCTGTTGTAGTAGTGTTTTCATCTGCAACCTTACTAGAGTGAGTTCCTTGAAAGCTGGGATTGCAGTTTGTCTATATCAAAAATTATCAAACCCTTAACACATTTATACATTAGAATGAAGCTGATACTGCCAATATGTCTCATTATTGGTGACACTTAAGTTTGAGCCAGATTTCTCCATTATAAAGTACTTGTTCTTTGTAATAAAAGTAATCAGAGTAAACTGTGAGACAGTATGAATTACCCATTTTCCAGTTATGTTTTACCCAGTAGTTTTAACATTCATTGATGATCCTTGCCTGAATTAGTTATTATGTTGGTGGTTGCGAACTGAATGATTTTCTAATCCTGTCATTCCTTCTACATTTATTAATTAGCATCTTTCTTTAAAGAAGAACTCTTACTCCACACTTTTTCTTGAAATATATTTTTCATACAGTAAAATGTGTATATCTTAAGTGTATAGTTGATGGATTTTGGTGAATGTATATACCTGTGGAATCATGACTGACACCTTCCCCTTGCTTTTAGTATCACTGTAGATCATGTTTTTTTCTGTTACAATGTCTTATAATGTATTCCTTTTTGATAATCAGATTGTTCCAAATTTGGCTAATGGGAGCCCCTTCAAGCTGGTTCATGTGTTGTTTTCACATGTCTCCATCAGTTTTTGAGCACATACTTTCTAGTACTAAAAGGCTAGTCATCTTCTTGTCCTGCCTTAGACCCAGAAACAGCCATTTCTCCAAGGAATCCGGGTTCATTTTAGTGGGAAATGATATTTAGAAAGCAAGATCTGAGCACAAGGTATGCTTGTTCCTACTGGGATAGCATTGCTTGTAGGCCCTTCTAGTTTTAGTGGTCAGGGCTGGGAAATAAATTTAAAAAAAATTAGGACTTTATGTTTTCAGTTTGTACTGATAATTCCACTTCTAATACAGCATCACAGAGTACTTTTGGTTTGTATTGTAGTTTTTTTGCTAGCATTTTGAATTGGGTATTTAATTTATTTCTATAATTTGTTCCAGAGATTTTAATACATAGTTTTTATATGATCATTTTTTAGTGGAGAGTTAACAAATTTCTAGGAGGAAGGGCCTTTTGATTTTTCATTTTATTTCTAGTTTTATTCCAATAAGATCAGAGAATGTTGTTTTATTATTTCTACTTTTTGGAACTTTATTGCCTTTCTGAAAAGGTTGTTGTAAGGATTAATTGTTTAAAATACTTTGATTTATCACCTACTATGTACTCAATATATATCAGCTTTTATTATTATGTACTTTGATTTAACAGTGGTAAAGAATGTGTAGTGTTATGTTTATCATTGGACTGATTTTAGACGTTGACTAGTATAACCAAATCAATCTACTAAAGATTAAAGATAAATTTTGAACTGCTGTTTTGGTTGGTTTGGTTCTCATATGGCCTTTTATTAGTCCAGGCTGCCTGCATAGCTCAGTTGTTATGTAGCCATAGGCTTATAAAGTAGTCTATATTTTATCCTGGTTTATTTTTATTCTTATCGACTAAGTATATTTTAAATAAATTTTGGTTGTTTACTTAGTCTACTTTCAGATATTAGGTCCATCTAAATTCAAGATGTAGCAGTGCTGTCAGGATGCTCTCATCTTCAAGTATACTAGAATGCCAAACGACAGTAGCTTAAACATTTACAACACAATTTTCACATAAGGACATGTTTTTCACATAAGGTTTTCAGAGATAGGTAGTTCTAGGATTGGTACAGCAACCTCACATTGTCATCAAGGGCTCAGACTCTTTTCAGGTTCTTTGAGAAGCTTTCTCTTTTATCAGAAAATATTTCCCAGATGCTTCTGGCAGACCTTTTCCTTATGTCTTATTGGCTAGACCAGGATAACAGTCCACTCCTCACTAAATCATCACCGACAAAGAGAAATGGCATTGACACGATTGGCTTAGGACAATCATTCATCTCCTAGGATGGGCATATTGCCCTCTAATCAAAGATGGGTGTCCACTAGAAAGTTAGAAGTGGAGATTTCTATTGAGTTATGACCAGTATTATACAAGTTATTCCAGTAGTGTCTGTCTCTATACAGAACCTAATGACAGCTATGCTTTTCTGAAAAAGAGATTTTTTTTTGTGGAAAGCAATCTGGATGTTGCCTAGTGCTTTTTTGACCATTCAACTGTTGTAATGAGGCAGTGAGTGGATTTAGAGAGAAGAAATCAAATAATTTTTTCCTCATTTTGAAGAGGATCTTGAAACTTTTTTTGGGTAAGAAAATAGATGTATGAATCAGAATAATTAGACTAAATGAATTTTGTTTGTTTTTTCCAGTCAGAATCTGGAGAAGTAAATAGAAACACAGAACTGAAGAAACTTCGAATTTTTGGGGCTGGGCCTAAAGTTGTGGGTCTGGCGATGGGAGCAAAAGAAAAAGAAGGTAAAATCTGTTATTTGATCATGAAAAGAAACAAGTTACAATGGTATGGTTTTCATAAGATTCAAATGATAATTGAATTGAAATCTCCCTTTGGATTTTCTTAAGAATTGTAAACTTGCAACATGGTTCTTAGACAAATCGTCTTTTTCTGGGCAGATAATCTTAAATTTAATGTGCGAGGAGCCATATTCTGTTGAATTTTTATAATATTTTGGAAGAGAGAAATTTTCCTCCTCCGTATCTAATATGTGACACAGAAATTAATTGTTGTTTCTAAAGACTAGCTTATGAGAGATTGGCAAAATTAATGGTTCTCACCTGGTGATCTAAAGCTTACAACTTTTTTTTTGTGAGGAAGATTCACCCTGAGCTAACATGTGTGCCAGTCTTCCTCTATTTTGTATGTGGGATGCCTCCACAGCTTGGCTGATGAGTGGAGTAGGTCTGCCCCTGGGATCCAAACCCATGAACCTGGGCCACCGAAGTGGAGCGTGCGTAACTTTAACCACTTGGCCACAGGGCCGGCCACAAAAGCTTACAACTTTTAAATTCAAAAAGAAATAGAGAATTCTCTGATCTTTAGTATCAAAATATACTGGGGAGAGCTTATGACTTAAATTCTAAATATAATTCTGATATTTTTTTATAATTGCCTTGATGTGACACTTCATTTAAATAAAGTGTGTTTGAGGAAAGCCTAGTACTCTGAACTTAACATGTTTGAAACATTTTGTGAGGAAAATTGCTAATGCAAAGGTCAAGTTCCATTATTCTCTTTATGTACATGTTGGTTTTAAAACTCAATTTAACAAAGATTGTGTTGGATATGTTTTTACTGTATAAGAATTTAGTGAAATGCTATAGTCATGTCATATTAGTTATGTGTTTTATGATATGAATAATTAAGTCATAGTTCAGGTTGTGGACTGAACTTTGGAGGATCAGATAATACTGTTCCGTCACTCTCAAAACATTCAGTGTGAAAGGACTTACTAAATACATTATAATATTTATTATTACCCTTTTAAGAATTAAGTACTGATTATCTTTTTCATCCTTGTAATTATTGTGTTGGCTGGCAGTGATCTTAAAACTAGTCTCAACTTAGTCCCTGATAAGTACTATATACAGACAGTATAGAATTAGTAGTTAAACTCTCTAGTGCTTGACTATCTAGATTAGAATCCCAAAACTGCCACTGACGGGCGGTGTGTTTGGGCAGGTTATCTAACTTCACTATACTTCAGATTCTTTATGTTCAATGGGTATAATAGTGTATCTACCTCATGGTGTTGTGAGATTTTAACTAACTTAAAATATTTAAATAGTGTCTGGTCCATAGTAAGTTCTCAACATTAGTTTTTACTATTATTATTTAACTATTTTTATTTCAAGATGAGGTCTCCCGAAGACGAAAAGTTACCAGCAGGTCAGACGTATTTAACATGCAAATGAGACAACGGAAAGGAACTCTCTCTGTTAACTTTGTAAGTGTTCTGAGATGTGTCAGGAGGGAAAGGATTTATTTTTATTTTAGTTTTGCACTTTTTATTTTACTATACCTTGGTATGCCATTTATTTAGCTCATTTGGTTAGAAGATTTGATGGTGAATCTAAAGTTGCAGCTTTGGTTTATGTAATGTTAACCTTGTTTTGTCCCATATATGTGAAGTGTTCCCCTAAGGCATAAATCTTGTGAGTAACTAAGTGAAAGAATGAATATAAATTTGTCAATCCTTGAGCTGTATTATAGACAGTCCTCAGTATGCATTCTTTACCGAAGAGTGTTTCTGTGTAGGAAGGATGACATGGTATATTTTATTTATATAAGTTAACTTTCAGGTTCCCTAGATTTGTAGTCTGTCTTTATTCTAATAACTTGATGTGCTTTTATTAACTTGCCTGTAGAAACTCTGAGGAAATGTAGGAAGTTTTATGAAAAGCTGTTTAAATACAATTATTTAAAATAAATATTCAGGGTTTAAGTTATGCTTACTTTTTAATGTACATTATTTTGTTTGTTTCAATTAAGGAGTTCCTGGTAAAAATTTAATGTTGTTAATTATAGAAAATATACTTTCATTTTGTTTGTTTTTCACAGGTTGATCTCTATGTTTGTATGTTTTGTGGTCGGGGAAATAACGAAGATAAATTACTTTTGTGTGATGGATGTGATGACAGCTATCATACATTTTGTTTAATTCCCCCCCTGCCTGATGTGCCCAAAGGAGACTGGAGGTGTCCTAAATGTGTTGCGGAGGTACAGGCCTAACCTTAACGGATCCTTTTTTAACTAAGAACAATAATGCACACATACAGACATAGAGTAATCACATTCCCTAAAGCTGCTTCTACTCTCTGTTCTTCAATGTTTAAAATCTCCAGAATTTTTTAAGAGTGATATTGTATGGAAATGTAGCAATTGTGTTGACTCAGCTTGCCTTTCAAAAGTTCTTTTTCTGACTGTTGGTTAAATACTTCTGTTTATTGATGCGGATGAATGGGACTTTTCCTCACAATATTCGTATTCCTGGAAAACAATAAGAATGAAGAAAAGCTGTTGGTTATTTGTTTTTTCTTTTCTAATTTAAAAAAAAGTAAAAATCAGACATGAAGAGCTAGAACTTAGGATTTATGCATTCAGTTTTCATGCTACCAAGTAAACTGATGGCATCTATTAGTTTATTTAAATTTTGACTTGGTTGTACTAAATTATTGTTTTTAATTGAAGTATAGTTGACATACTAAATTATTCTTATTGAAAGATCATAATGTCATTATCATGAAATGCATACTCTACATATTTTGACAAAATGTTGTGATAGGACATTGAAGGGAAGGAGTTGGTTGGGTGTATCTAGATGTATTCAAAGGTTTTTTATGGCCTTTGAATTATTATAATAATTCAATAAATACTATCATTCTCAAGGTTAGGTGATTCAGAAGCAGTTCTACACCGAGTATTTGTGTTAAGATATTGGTCATGGTGATTGATACTGTGAAAAAACCATTCTTCTAGCTAGATATCCTAGCAATCCAGTGGATATCTCTTTATCCATTACCTTTTCTTCTGCCATGAACATTTATTTTCTCCATAGCTAAATCCACTGATAATACTGAGAATGGTAGGCATCCCTGGGCTTGATTTCAAGTTAGTAGTCCTCCAGATGTTTGTCTTGGTGCTAGAGCTTAATGCCAACTCCAAAGTCTAAAGCTGTCTCATAACTACCTTCCTACTGGAAGGCTGTGAAAATGCAGTTGAGGTTCTAAGATATTATTTCCTGATTCCATATTGAAGTAATTAATACTTGTTTCACTGTGTAGGGTTGATTGGTTTGCTTTACCTAGGGAAATGATCGAAGAAGGTAGTACCTGAGAGCTTAATACTTTATTCATTTCATTTCCGTGAGTTGATCTTAGATATTTTTTCTTCCCAGGAATGTAATAAACCTCGAGAAGCCTTTGGGTTTGAACAAGCTGTACGAGAGTATACACTTCAGAGCTTTGGAGAGATGGCAGATAATTTTAAGTCCGATTATTTCAATATGCCAGTCCATGTGAGTATCTATCTTTTAGATCACTTTGGGGAGGTATGAAGATTTATCTGAGTCCAAAGCTTTTGGTTTGCTTTTTACTTTCATTCTTTTGTAGAAAACAAGGACAGTAATGAAAAAGATGATAGAATATCATATCCAAATATTAGGGGCCTGGCATCTGTTTCTATTTCTTTCACTCTCTAATGTGGCAGTGTGCATGCTCGTGTTGAGAAATCTGCTTTGATTTTTGAATTGTTTATTTGCCCAATCCTTTATAGAAAAGCATGAAGTATTAGCAGTTACTGCTTTTGTTTAGTTTTTTGTAATATGAGATTTGCTTCTTTTCCTAGCAGATCTTAGACTTTTTAAAATCACTATCAGAAAAATTTGCCAAAACCGTTAAAATTCAGCCCTGATTTTTGCATTTCCATTTTCCTCCTTGAGGTCCTGGGTCATCTTTATCTTTCTTAGTTTGGAAGTAGCTTGCAGAAAAAGGCAGTTCAAGTTCATTATGTTTTTCTGAATATCCTCAGTGGAAAAAGCCAGGACCCCAGTCTTTTCAGTTCTTGGAAATGAGAAGATTTTCTATTTTGTCATGGGTTTCTGTTCACTTGACCTGTGTATTATGTTACAGTGGGCTAGGGTTACAGTGAGTTAGTAATCTGTAATCTTTGTTTTCCCTGTTTAGATGGTTCCCACAGAACTAGTAGAAAAGGAATTCTGGCGGCTGGTGAGCAGCATTGAAGAAGATGTTATTGTCGAGTATGGAGCTGATATCTCTTCAAAAGACTTTGGGAGTGGATTTCCTGTGAAGGATGGTCGGAGAAAGATGCTGCCAGAAGAAGAGGTGCAGAACAGATATTAGTATCCAAACTTCTGCTTACCCCCAAGCTGATTTAGCCTTTGCATAGTAGAGAACTGTCTTCCTCTAATCTTAGGGACTATGTTCATTCAAAATATTAAATATGTAGGATTTGGTCAATATAAATAATGTTCAGTTTTAAAAATAATAAATTCAAAGTACCTTTAAAAATTATTTAACTTTGCATTTTAAAACCAATTGAATTAGTTTAAAACTTTAACTCCAGTTAAAAAACTTTGCCTAGGGGCCGTCCCAGTGGCTCAGCAGTTAAGTGCGCACGTTCCACTTCGGCGGCCCGGGGTTTGCCGGTTTGGATCCCGGGTGCAGACATGGCACCACTTGGCAGGCCATGGTGTGGTAGGCATCCCACATATAAAGTAGAGGAGGATGGGCATGGATGTTAGCTCAGGGCCAGTCTTCCTCAGCAAAAAGAGGAGGATTGGCAGTAGTTAGCTCAGGGCTAATCTTCCTTGGGGAAAAAAACAAAACCAACTTTGCCTAGCTCTTTCTGTTTAAAAATCTAGAAAGTGATTTAAGATTTTTAAAAAGTTATATTTCATTGTTAGGTCAAGAATTAAGTTTCCTTCAACACTTGAGCAGGTAGGTTTTCAAATATGCATTTAAACTGTAACATATAATGAAGTCCTGTCACATAGAAGATGACCTCTATGTGTAAAGCTGAATTAAGATGATTATTCCTTTCTTTTTATCTTTACTTTGGTTCTTGTCACTTTTTCTTTCCCTCTATAATTGACAGTGATTAAGAGTTTTATCTCCTATTAAAAGAGTTACACATGGTAAAAAAAAAAAAAAGATTACGTAGTGTGGAAGTGTGTACAATTAAAAGTACAGTCATTCATCACTTAATGACGGAGCTACATTCTGAGAAATGCATCGTTAGGTGATTTTGTTGTTTTGTGAACATCATGGAGTGTACTTACACAAACCTAGATGGTATAGCCTACTACATACCTAGGCCATATGGTACTTGTTTGATGGGACCACCATTGTATGTGCAGTTTGTCGTTGATTGAAATGTTATGTTATGCATGACTAAGTAGCCACTCTAGCTCTCTTAAGGTTACTGTTGTCATGGTATATCTTTCTCCATTATTTTTCTTTAAAGCTGTCTGTATTTTGGAATCTGAAGTGGGTCTTTTGTAGGCAGCATATGATTGGATCTTGCTTTTAATCTAGCCTGACAGGTGTCTTTTGTTTGGAGTGTTTAGTCCATTTACATTTATTATAATTATTGATATGGTTGATTTATGTCGACCATTTTGCTATTTTCTATGTCTCATGTCTTTTTTTCCCCACTATTTCTCCTTATGGTCTTCTTTGGGTGTTGGAAGGTATATGTGGTCAGTATCACTAAGTTAAACCTGGTTTGTCTAAGTATAAAGAAATGTATCAATGTGAGTTTCTTCTTATCCTTCCATTGGCAAATGGTAGGCAATTATTTAATTATTGGGAAGAGACTTCCTTTTATAGCTCTTGCCTTCTTCTCAATTTTGTTTCTGTTCTGAACTTTTTTTTTTATTGAGTTAATGATAGGTTACAATCTTGTGTGATTTCAGTTGTACATTAATGTTTGTCATTCGTGTTGTAGGTGCACCACTTCACCCTTTGTGCTCACCCCCCACCCCACCTTTCCCCTGGTAGCCACTAATCTGTTCTCTTTGTCCACATTTTTAAATTCCTCATATGAGTGGAGTCATGCACAGATTATCCTTCTCTAACTGGCTTATTTCGCTTAACATAATTCCCTCAAGGTCCATCCATGTTGTTGCAAATGGGATGATTTTGTTCTGTTTTGCAGCTGAGTAGTATTCCATTGTATATATATATATACCACAACTTCTTTATCCATTCATCTGTTGATGGGCACTTAGGTTGCTTCCATGTCTTGGCTATTGTAAATAATGCTGCAGTGAACATTGGGGTGCATGGGACTTTTGGAATTGCTGACTTCAAGCTCTTTGAATAGATACCCAGTAGTGTAATGGCTGGATCGTATGATAGTTCTATTTTTAATTTTTTGAGGAATCTCCATACTGTTTTCCATAGTGGCTGCACTAGTTTGCATTCCCACCAGCAGTGTATGAGGGTTCCATTCTCTCCACCACCTCTCCAACATTTGTTACTATTAGATTTAGATATTTTTGTCATTCTAATAGGTGTAAGGTGATATCTTAGTGTAGTTTTGATTTGCATTTCCCTGATGATCAGCGATGATGAGCATCTTTTCATGTGCCTATTGGCCATCCGTATATCTTCTTTGGAGAAATGTCTGTTCATGTCTCCAGCCCATTTTTTGATCGGGTCGTTTGATTTTTGTTGAGTTGTGAGAGTTCTTTATATATTATGGATATCAAGCCTTTGTCAGATATATGACTTGCAAATATTTTTTCCCAGTTAGTGGGTTGTTTTTTTGTTTCAATCCTGTTTTCATTTGCCTTGAAGAGGCTCTTTAGTCTGATGAAGTCCCATTTGTTTATTCTTTCTATTGTCTCCCTTCTCTGAGAAGACATGGTGTCTGAAAAGATCCTTTTAATACGGATGTCAAAGAATGTACTGCCTACATTTTCTTCTAGAAGCCTTATGGTTTCAGGTCTCACCTTTAGGTCTTTGATCCATTTTGAGTTTATTTTGGTGAATGGTGAAAAAGAATGGTCAATTTTCATTCTTTTACATATGGCTTTCCAGTTTTCCCTGCACCATTTGTTGAAAAGACTGTCTTTTCTCCATTGTATGCACTCTGCTCCTTTGTCGAAGATGAGCTGTCCATAGATGTGTGGTTTTATTTCTGGGCTTTCACTTCTGTTCCATTGATCTGTGCACCTGTTTTTGTAGCAGATGCTCTTTTGATTACTGTAGCTTTGTAGTAAGTTTTGAAGTCAGGGTTGTAATGCCTCCCGTTTTGTTCTTTTTTCTCAGGATTGCTTGAGCAATTCGGGGTCTTTTGGTGCCCCATATAAATTTTAGGATTCTTTGTTCTAATTCTGTAAAGAATGTCATTGGGATTCTGATTGGGATAGCGTTGAATCTGTAAATTGCTTTAGGTAGCATGGACATTTTAACTATGTTTATTCTTCCAATCCATGTACATGGAATGTCTTTCCATCTCCTTATGTCGTCATCCAATTCTCTCAGAAAGGCCTTGTAATTTTCATTATATAGGTCCTTCACTTCCTTAGTTACATTTACCCCAAGGAATTTTATTCTTTTTGTTGCTATTGTGAATGGTATTGTGCTCTTGAGTTCTTTTTCTGTTAGTTCTTTGTTAGAATATAGAAATGCTACTGATTTATGCAACTTGATTTTATACCCTGCAACTTTGCTGTAGTTGTTGATTACTTCTAAGAGTTTTCCACTGGATTCTTTGGGGTTTTCTATATATAAGATCAGGTCGTCTGCAAACAGTGAGAGTTTCACTTCTTCCCTCCCTATTTGGATTCCTTTTATTCCTTTATCTTGCCTGATTGCTCTGGCCAGGACCTCCAGTACTATGTTAAATAAGAGTGGTGATAGAGGGCATCCTTGTCTCGTTCCTGTTTTCAGGGGGATGGCGCTCAGTTTTTGCCCATTGAGTATGATGTTGGCTGTGGGCTTGTGATATATGGCCTTTATTATGTTGAGGTAGTTCCCTTCTATGCCCATTTTGTTCAGAGTTTTTATCATAAATGGCTGTTGGATCTTGTCAAATGCTTTCTCTGCATCTATTGAGGTGATCATGTGGTTTTTATTCCTCAATTTGTTGATGTGGTGTATCATGTTGATTGATTTGCGGATGTTGAACCATCCCTGTGTCCCTGGTATGAATCCCACTTGATCATGATGTATGATCCTTTTGATGAATTGCTGAATTCTGGTGGCCAAAATTTTGTTCAGAATTTTTGCATCTATGTTCGTCAGTGATATTGGCCTGTAGTTCTCTTTTTTCGTGGTGTCCTTGTCTGGCTTTGGTGTCAGTGTGATGTTGGCCTCATAGAATGTGTTAGGAAGTGTTCCATCTTCCCTAATTTTTTGGAATAGCTTGAAAAGGATAGGTGTTAAATCCTCTTTGAAAGTTTGGTAGAATTCCCCAGGGAAGCCATCTGGTCCTGGGGTTTTATTCTTTGGGGTGTTTTTGATGGCTGTTTCAATCTCTTTCCTTGTGATTGGTCTGTTCAAATTGTCTCCTTCTTCTTCAGTGAGCTTTGGGAGATTGTAGGAGTCCAAGAATTTATCCATTTCCTCTAGGTTATCCATTCTGTTAGCATAGAGTTTTTCGTAGTATTCTCTTATAATCCGTTGTATTTCTGCAGAGTCTGTTGTTATTTCTCCTCTTTCATTTCTGATTTTGTTTATTTGAGCTTTCTCCCATTTTTTCTTTGTAAGTCTGGCTAGGGTTTTGTCAATTTTATTTATCTTCTCAAAGAACCAGCTCTTTGTTTCATTGATCCTTTCTACCGCCTTTTTCGTTTCAATAGTATTTATTTCTGCTCTGATTTTTATTATTTCTCTCCTGCTGCTGCCTTTGGGCTTTATTTGTTCTTCTTTCTCTAGTTCAGTTAGGTGTAGTTTAAGATTGCTTATTTGGGATTTTTCTTGTTTGTTAAGATGTGCCTGTATTGCAATGAATTTTCCTCTTAATACAGCTTTTGCTGTATCCCATATGCGTTGGTATGGCGTGTTATTTTCATTAGTTTCCAGATATTTTTTGATTTCTTCTTTAATTTCTTCAATGATCCATTGCTTGTTCAGTAGTGTATTGTTTAGTCTCCACATCTTTGTGCCTTTCTCAGCTTTTTTCTTGTAATTAATTTCTAGCCTTATAGCATTATGATCAGAGAAGATGCTTGTTATTATTTCCATTTTTTTAAATTTGTAGAGGCTTGCCTTGTTTCCCAGCATATGGTCTGTCCTTGAGAATGTTCCATGTGCACTTGAGAAGAATGTGTATTCTGCTTTTTTAGGATGAAGTGATCTATATATGTCTATTA